TGGTAGTGATTGGTGTCTTTTGTTGCTGTTGGTTGGTTATCTTTACTTCCACCTCTATGTTTACTTGCAGTCTTGTATTTTCTCCTCGGCTAGCTTGATGGCTTACACTTGTGAGTTCTCGAGTTTTTGTGATATTAGACAATTATCATCGACGAAATTCAAATCTTCTGGAGTCTTCTCTCTTCTCATTCTCCATAGCTACTGAATTTTCCGTTGTGGATCACCTGGTACGCGACTCTCATGTAGCTGTCGAATCAGGTTGATGAAGATTTGCGGCACGCCGTAGTATTAAAGCAGTTTCCAAATTACATAGGGTTTATGCGACAATTGGCTATTCGAAAGCATACATTGATGACTTATTCGTCGTTATCCCGGATATAAATACACACGAAGATCACTGGTGGAAATTATGTCCAGCCATAGGGGTTATTTTGGGACGTCAGTGCAACCTTCAGTTGTTGCTAAAAGCGTTCTATCACCCTGCTGGCTTCCGTTTGTTATTACGATACTGGAGGAGATTGGGCTAGATTCAACGAGTGGCGCTGTCTCACTTTGCCATTTGTATACCAAGAGGTTTCTTTCATCGATAAACGTATCTTTCTAGTACCCACCAATAAGTCATATCCTCCTAAGAGGTCGATGCCGATGACTGGTAGGTCTAAATCGCCAATAGTGGACACCTATGGCAGCTGTGATTTGAGCCTTAGAACAAGGGTCAATGTTTTCGGCCTGAACGTCACGATCTGGGTTCTATTAGTGGCCTGTATCATGACAGCAGACTTTCGTCGTTCCGCCTCGCCCTTTGCTTTTAGTATGACATTGAGTGCCGCTCCTGTATCAACCAGGAAGTCTATACCAGAGTTTTAGTCCTTGAAATGGAATAGGTGACTATCCAGGCAAAGCTTCTCGGAAATCGCTACTTGGGAAGTGGTTAATTTTTACCCTGTTGCTGGTGAGATGGTTTTGGCAAGGCACATGATTGTGTGAATTTTGTGGACTGTGCACTGAACCTCCAGTGACACCAACAGAATTGGCCTATTGACCTATTTTGTCTGGGCCTACTCTCTTGCGTGGTTCGCCTCGTCCGTCATATGCTAGTGTATTTCTGTCAGCCGTTCCATCAGTGATTTAGTGTTAATCACTACTTATGAAATTACTGAGTGTATGCTGATTCTCATGTGGTTCACTTGCTAATCCGTAAGTCGTTTCTCCTCCGACGTCTGATTAACAATACATATTAAATGTTAAGGAGAAGAGTCAGGCTCTTTTGCGTTCAGTGCCGGCGACACATACTCTGGGGAGGGAGGCCAACCTTGCCTCAGTATAGCCCCTCCAACTCTACTGTTCCTTACGAGCTGCTGCAGGTGGCACAAGGACTGTGATTTAGATCTGTCTCCCATGTTCTCTTCCTGAAACAGCCGTTGTATTCTCTGGTTTTCTGACATAGGGGGCGTTTTGTCACCTCGCACTTAAGCATCGTGTATGGTGGTGACTTAACTTTTTTAGTGACTAAAGATTCTACCTCCTTAGAGGCAGAGTTTTTAAAGTCAGTTTCTATGCTTGGCAAATTACATGTTTCGATGCATAATAATACTGAACAAAATAATGAGTACCAGAGAAAAAATAAATAAATCTGAAAAAGAACAAAAACAAAGCAAATATATGGACTATAGTCAACCCGAACAAAATGGGAGGCAAAATGTGAACGCAACAGGCTCTCCAATTTAGAAAGTGACCTTTCTAACGAAAAGACTAGTGGAATAATTGTCCAGTGGTCTACAATATAGTAGAAGACCAATGTTGTTAATAAGCCTTTATTTTCGAGAGCACAAAAGAAGGCATTTGAAGTCGGGCGTACCTAGTCAACCAAACGGAAGGGTGTTTACCATTCAATAGATAAAAACAACCTCACAGATAATTAATAAGATATAGTTCCAACTTCGTCGCATGTTCTTTCTTTCTGAATTTCTTAATTATTTACTACATTTGAGTGGCCATATAATATCGTGTTTTGGAAGCCCTACAGGGTTAATCGTCCCCCTGTTTGTGGTAATGTGGTTTAGTCTAGTCACATAAATGTATGCGTTTCTCTCTGGCTAACTGACAGTGGTACCAAGAGAGCTATCCTACTGATCAAGTCTGTTGGGTCTGCTTCTTGACCCAGAACGTCGTCTGTTATGTTATGCTGTATCTGTGGTAGTATTTCCATAAGTGACCCATATTTTGCCACAAGTTCGGAAACTATGGTACACCTGCCATTATGTGAGTCGCCTCCTCTCCAATATTCGATCAGTTATATATGATAACTGTTTAATAGTCGAGTTAGGATCTTATGCGTCCAGTGCTCGTCACACATACTGTGGGAGGGCTTGTATGCCATTGCATTTTTTCTGACTCGCTGTTGCACAAGAACTGTGATGGGATCCATCACCTATGTTCTCTCGACCAAACAACTATCGTACACTCTGATATGGAGACGAAGGTGTTTGTGTCACCTTTCACTTGAGCACCGTATGTAGTCGCTTGGATGTAGGGCGAAGTATGTATCCTTCACCTGCTTACCAATCTAACAATTCAACTGCGAACATCTGCTCCTATATCTGTTGTTATCAGACTTAATGTTATACATGTAGAAGTAGTGCTCTAATTGAGTAAACAACAGCTCCGGATAATGCCTATCTAATTTTATTGACTGCTGGGGTATCTGCCTCTTCAAACAGAACTGCTAGGTTACATCCCATAGTTGGCAAATGTGAAATTGTAATAAACGAATATTGAACCAAAAGATACGCGTGAATGAAAAGACCTAAAAAAACAATCAGAAAGGAGAAAAGAGAAAGTTTCAGCCAACTATATCGAGAGGGAACGCGTGTTAATAACAAATCAGGCTCACTGACTTAGTAATCGACTCTTCTGTCAGCATAATTATCCAAACAGGTATTATCGGAGATGAAAGTTGTAACGTTTGAACGGTTTTTAGAAAACGCAGTGGTTGGCAGATGAAGTGCAGAAACCTTGCAGAACATGCGTCAGGGCATTCTTTTTTCAATATCACTCAGCAGGGAATGCGAGTCCTGCAAATAACAAAGAAACAGGTTTTACTTGATTATTTGCCTCATCCTTCTGAATTACTTAGTAACTTGGCACCTCTGAGTTTCCGTTGCTTCCAGTGTTGTGAGGACCCTTTGGAACCACTGGTTAATCAGACAGTGATCTGATGTGATGTCCTCCCATAGATGCCTAGGGACGAGTAAAACGGTTAAGTAGGTTGAAATACGGGTCATCCATCAAGATAGCGTCGAGAATTCAAACAGTCCTCTCGGTTTTTCTATTAAGGACCGCAGTTTATGTCTAGTAGGACAGTGTAGACTTCTTATTTAGACCATGTAGCTCACAGAAAACATCACTACGAGAGAGTTGATTCGGTATTAGCTCTTCATTCGCTAAACTGACGATGCGTCTGCCCGCCAAATATACTTTCAGTATGCTTTTGTCCCAGAAATCAAGTCTTAGGTTTCAGCCCTGAGCACAACGAACAAATCATTACTTCATTCCAGCGTTTGCAGATATTATATGTCGCTTTTGTCTTACTTTTGATGTGTGAATTAATTTCCACTGGAAAAACCCATTAGTACAGTCGTAACTTATTGGTTACTTCATGTTCTGTTTTGCTTGACACTGAAAGGATTGCATAGGTGAAACTTCGATTTTCACAGGTATAATTCTCAGTTCGAATTTTTAGCCTGCAGCCCCCTGATGTTTCCGTCTTTCCCAGTACTTGACTTAGGTTCCTATTTTTTAAGAGTACATATCACTATCTTATCTCATTTTCTTCAAATGAAACTAAAAAATCTAATTCAAGGCATATTCGTATTGAGATCTAATCCAGATAATCTCCATGTTCCGGCTGAATGATTTTTAGTCTAAGATTGCTGGCATTTTCGCAACATACATTGAGGACGACAGCGACATGTCCACGTTACTAACAGACTTCAACTGCCTGTCAGATAAATCCAAAGATTAGGTGTTTCCCGTCTATTTATTGACGTGCGCAAGCAAATGTATCGAGCGCATAAGTTCCAGTGCGTAGGACATTGAGGGGTCACCACTCTCCTCAGTTTAGACCCACAGGGATCTAAGTTTCATGGTAACTGAAGATGTAGACGCTACCATATACTTTCACACAATGGCCGGTTCTCGTAAATGGGATCTTACTTTCCAAAATGAGTCTAAATCAAGTCAAGAAGTATAGTCTTTCGTATGGCTCATCTGTATCGTGATGGACAATTTAACTTTTTGCGTCAGACGATATGCGGAAAGAAGATCTAGTCATGATGTTCATAATTCAAAAGACGACTATTGGCCTGATCTATGCTCATCTCTCCCTTCTACCATGTCCGAATACCTCATAGGATATTGCGTTAGAGATTCCGAAATCTGAGTAGGAACTATGTAATAATGGAATGCTTGTTCTGTTAATGAGCCAATAACTATTGGGACCGAATGCTAGAAGAAATGATATCTGCTCCCTGAGTCAATTCCTTTAAGGAAGGTTTTTTTAAGCATAGGCATTTGTAAGAAATGGATGGAGATATTCTTGAACCTATGTACCTCCAACAAAAGTCTGAATTCGATATCTGCATCCTCATTGCATATGCAGACTTAGAAAAATTTCACACACGAAGTATTATGAAACAGAAGGCCTTTCCTCCTTGTTTTGGGAGAGTTTCTTGGCACTTTTCTTGCAAACACGTATCACTATTCTGAGGTGACAGTAGTTTTGTTTACTATACTCACTATAGCTTATTAACAAAGTCACCGCCACTTTTGAGATTTGGAAGTCACCTGCGACACTCATGTTTTCAAATCCGTTTTCGTGACCATTTTTATCCGATTTGGTTTTCATTGGCCTCAGAATTAAGCAAAACTTCTAACCCGGTTCAGTAGGATCTTACGATCGGCGATTACCTCCATTTGGACTCACTGGCAGTTTACATGTTATGGATCTAAGATGTCGGGATTCCTGCAGAGATTTGGAGAATGTAATTACTCAGGAAAATCTACTTCGCAAATGTGTCTTGAAACCTGACACAAATAAACTTTTAACCGGTCGTCCAGTACTTGGGAACTTGACGAACAGACTACGGGTAAATATAATATCTCAATTTATCCGTATATCTTTTGTAGAATGAAACAGGAGCTCAGTTATGTAAAAGCAAGCAGACATTTGCTGGTAAGTATTGATGGTTGCAAGCGCGATTCGACGTCAGAACTGTTTTGATTTATTTGTGCTATACATTCATTATAGAATTATCTGTGAAACAGAAAGATTACGTCGGTTTTTGGTGATGCCATTCTCATATATCAGTAGTAGCTTAATAAGTATTCCTGCGCACTTCGTGTTTTGAAGACGATTCTCATTAAATACATCGTTTCCGCATGTTTTCATGTATTTTCTGAAGGGAAGCTTTAGTGTTTTTTATTTGAGATGTAAACTCTCCTTGTTGACTTCAAATTCGCTTATAATACCAACCTGTGCATACTAAAAGTTGTCAAGACGCACGTCTTCTGATAAAATTGCGGACACGAATTCGAAACATCTGCACAATTCAACTATACTGTGATCTTAACTACTAGAAAGCAGTGTACTCTTTTCATGTTAGAAGGACGGGTTTCTTCGTCGGTAGTTATTAATTGACCAGTATGTAATGCATACATCATGACATAAACGATTAGAAGCTACTGAATTAGGGAAATTTTATTATTCACTGCAATACCTGCATAATATTAGATGTTACTTAATTGGGTCTTCGAGTACTCATTTTAGACCCCTGAGTTATATTTTGACAATTTTAGAAACTCATCGTTTGGAAATATAACCAGTTGCTGCCTCTGAACTAATAGGATTGTTATGTTGACCCTGTGTGTGCGTGTGCGTGTGGAATGTCTGTAGCAACGATATCTTAACTGGATATTTAAGAAAATTGGATGTTTTCAAACTTAGGCTTAGTGAAGTTTCCTAGCTTTAAAATGTTTATACACTGACACCAGCACTTGACTTTTACTGGCTTTTACTAGGCGTTTTCTACAAAACAGTGTCAGTGGTGTGTGTATTCCATTTCAGAAAGTCACACGGATGTATAAGATTTTACAAGTCGAGGTGCAATTAGCAGTACGTTTTCATACATCAACTAACACTCACTACTACATGTGTGTCTTAACAGTGTCCTATCCATTTCAAAGCTGTATAGAGTCACATAAAGTAGTGTGCTTCATTGTCATCTCATGTGTCTACTTGAAAAATGATTTACAGATTTGATTGTCCACAACTTTCGTAACAGCATGCATTATTTACTTTCTCCTTATGCATGTCTTTTCCATATTTCGCTTTTACTATTACTGTCACTCATTGAGTGGTAGATGGAGTAGGATAGATCAGCTAACCCTTGTCTTATTTACTAAATATTGAACCTTACAGTGTGCGCGCACGTGATGTGGTTTGGAATATGGTTGGAGCCTGGTATGATCCAAGGACTTTTATAACTTATAGTTGCTTTTCAAGTATTGGTTATGTAGGGGTTTTGTATGATTGCATGGAGGATTTCATCATGAGCTGACATCAGTTAGAGAACCACTGGAAAACAAGGCGAGCTCGTCGACCATTGAGCCACTGGGACCCGATCCAATGGTTCTTGAATTCCAACTTCTACGCTGGTTCCTTTTACAAACACAATATAAATGTTTGCGAGTTGGAATGAATCGTTGAGCTTTGAGTTTTAATTCCACTAAGCTGTCAACCGCAGCACTCTAATCCATTTCACTCATGTCAACCTTAAATCTTCAATCTGGTTTCGTTTTATCGTGTAGTAGATTAACAGCCTACTTTTTGGTGTGGTTATCTTGAGGTTTCTACTCAGTTTACTTGTAATAATGAAGCTAAATCCGTCTCAGCTCGTGCAAGTCGTTTAGACCAACTCGTGTGTTCCACTTCCTACACACCCAACGCATAATCCCGTTTATCTATGTTTTTCATTAGTGCTACAACACACCTGCACAACCTTGATTGAGTGACTCGTCTGGATCTGATTACCGACTTGCTAGAAGCCAACTATTGTAAGCATGGGTTACTATATCTGCGATGAGGTGTGGGCAGTGCGCACTTTGAGGAGGCTGCAAATCTATGAGGTAATTGAGCACTGCCCATCTACTGATGAAATGAGTAATACAGATGACTAGAGAGGAGTCGTGAAATGTTCGAAGCACTTATATGAAATATTACATTTTTGAATAGTATAGTGATCGTCGCCCTAGTGAACTGCTTTCAAGACACAAGTAATATTCATGTTGAGATCACCAGTTAGGGATGTTATACTTTGAGATATGAATATTTCTTTTTTTTTGCCGGTCCTAGCCAACTTTTTACTCTTGCTCTCTAATTATATTACTGCCGGTACAATCGCATCTACCATTCATGAGTCGCAGTAGTTGTGACAAATTGAACTGTTCATAGTAATCATGTCTAACGTTAGGCTCCGTATAAAAATGTGTCAGCTGTTGACACCACACTTTAAAGAAGCACATAGAAGCGAAGAAAACAATAATACGATGGTACCACAATGGTCAAAGATGTGTGGAGGGAGAAATAACTTGACGAATATTGGTGAAGATGTTTAGAACTTATAAAATGGCAATGAATAAATGCGTCTGCATTATTCCAGATAATTTCGAATATTTTCAACAAACCTCAAACAATTCTTAAAACCTCGTGGAACTCAACTATGACTTCTGTATCTGTATATAACTTCCTGGATTAAGGCCATGTTTGGTCTGCTATTCATGTCTTCCAGCTAAAACCTACTTTAACTTTGCTCGCTGAGTAAGGTGGCGACTCAGTATCCATAACGTACTTCAGCCATCTTAGTCAATAATGCTTCACAATCTGAGTAATTGGATTAACTACTATACATCCAGTGTCATCAGTACTTTTCAAATTGTTCTATCCAACGTGGGTAGTTGGAAGAGAACTTATGGTTAAAGACATATCCTTTTTCATATCTACTTTCAGTGGCTATTTATCAGTGGCACTGCTGGGCAAGGTGGGTCGTCGCAAAGTACTTAAACCCCCTTTTATGGCGAAAGTTAAAGAGTCCCAAACAATGTTTTTGTGTTTGCGTAGATTTTTGATTTAACTTCCTAAATCAGTGAAGCCAATCAGTCGTGTAGCATCTTACATTTGACATATGCAGATCTCATGTCATATATATTACTGAGTTTTGCTAAGATCTTTCTAAAGACTGCACTGTTACCATCCCATTTTGTCATCCTTTTTCCTGTACGTCTTTGTTATTTATAATTTCATCATATTTCCCTACCTTTATGTGCGCAGAAGGGTGACTAATTGGAATGATGCAGTTTTGTACAAAGCTTTTCGTTGATAATTTAGTCAGTCAGTCACTCTGACTTCTATCATAATAAAGAGCCAAATGTCGTAGTGATGAAATTGTTAAGAGTTCATAACGTCTATAAACAACTGTGAGTGATAAAAGCGGGAGTGGTGAAGAAGCATCACTATTAGACCAGTACTTGTCAGTTTTTTGCCTGACTGAAGAGATTATTAATGGAAATTAATACTGTTGCTGAATAAACGATCTTTGGTAACTCATAACAACTACTGTTATTCTGGGGATACCATGTCATAAATTAATGCCATTTAGCCTAACCAATCCTAGAATCATCGTGCAAGTATACAAGCACTAAAGCTATAGTTAACCAAATGAAAGATTATAGGTCTCTTCCATATCTTTGATGGAAAATGTGTTACACTAGCCAGTGTGTACTAAAATGCATGTAGTTGATGAATGACAATTACTTGCAATGATTCGTAAAGTTGACAATAAATGAACAGTTTAAAAGCTTCTGGGTTGACGTTCGCAAAGTATATTCTCTATCCGCCAAAGTGAACTGCCATCGTTCATAAGTGTACTTAGTGGTTACCCTCATTTTACTCACATTGTCGTGTTTTGCTTGAAGAGCATCTAATTCACTTAGACGACGTAATACTGCTAAATGGTGTTGCTTACATAGCTACATTTTTTCGGTTGAGAATGATCATTAAACACTTCATGTATATTAAAAATGGACTGGTCATACTTATAGAGTACGCATAGAGAGGAATTAGGTTGGCTGCCTATCAAAAGACAAATTTATTGCGAACTTTTTTGTTTCACTACCTTTGTGAGATATAACTGTTAAAGATAAGAATATGAGGTTGTAAGTTTCCAATCGTGTCTTCGTAGTATTGCATGGGTGTAGTGAAACTACATTGTAAGTAGTGTTGCAGTTAGATACCCAGTATTTTTAGAAAGTTAATCGTTAAGGTCATAAATCTTTAATGACTACGGAAAGCTATGGGGCTATGTTGGAAATAGTTTGGTGATGACAAGACCAAGGTATTTCGCGAGTCCCAGGAATTTTTGACCATGTCAATTGGGTAGGTTTAGGTTCTTTGAAGGTATTAGAAACTAACCTCTGGGGGTATTTAGCTCAAAATATACCCCTCGAAAATCTGAGCATTGTAATCAAGGCATATATTATTATTTCCTCTTTTGTTACTTTCGTTATTTCTTTTCACCTCTTGTTGGTTGTTGTGAAGCGTTGCAACTTAGTCTAATTCATTTTCACTTTAAGTCCTATGTTAAGTATGCGTGTTTACCTCCTCTAAGCTAATTGTGATATTATGGATTCACTTGATTTTGCATTCTTTAATAACTTCAACTTTTTATATTCCGTATGATATCTCAAATTACCTGGGGATTTTATGTGAGTTGTTAACATTGTAATTTTGTTTCCTAGCTCACTCTCCCTTAATTCTTTTTTGAAAGTTATCCATTCTTTTGTCATTACGTTAACAGCACTTCACAATAAAAATGCCAAACTTTTAAACAGAGAAGCGGAATACTTATCAGGATCTTCAACCACATTATGTGCATTCAGTCAGATAGATATAGGTTCAGCATCAAGCAGTGATAGCGGTTACAGTAGTACACTTTCAGGGTCAGCTCTCGAACACTCCAAACTTACATCTCACTCGCTTTTATGCGTCAAACCGTCGGAAGATGAACAGATACCACTGTCCAAACGTCCTCGCATTGATGACTGTGAATCACTTCAAAGTGAAGCATCCATTTCAGATATTGACGATTCAGAAGTTGACAGAAGACCGTTTAAATCCAAAGTAAGTATTTTGTGTCTCGTTTACTTTGCAATTTTTAAGCATCTATCCACGATTCAGTTGCATATTTATCTACGTCATGATATCTCTAATTCCTTCACAATAAACTGGGCCTTTTTCATTTCTCACTATCATCCTTCTGTTATATATTCATTCATACTAGATGGATGGTGTTTTAATAGACCGAGACAAACACGGGAACTAACGTGACTGCATTCCAGTTCAAGCTGCTTAGATCTCAAGCAGAATGTAATAAAAAGAAGGCTACTTCCTGGTAGAGTGTTATTTTTGTCTAAATATGCAAATTGTTATTATTTATTTTTATTATTCCCTTGGCTTCCGTGTGGAACATAGAGCTTCAACAACACATCTCCACTTTCTTCTACTTTCTGCTCTCCTCTTCAGCTTCGTCCACGGTTGCCCATAATCTGCCATCTCCTCTTCGCACGATCTTCTCCATGTCACGCTCACACCGACAACCCACTCATCATTCGACGGCCTGGAGCGCTATGTCATTCGATGGCCTCCTCAACATATGCCTGATTCATCTCCATTTTCTCCTACATATGTGTTGAGTGGTCGGCACTTGGTTGGTTCGTTGCACTGCAGAGTTTCTTGTTGCTAATTCTTTCTGGCCATTTGATCTTCAGTATGGAGCCAGCTAAGACAGCTGTTGATAAAAGTCTGCAACCTGTTGGAAATCCTTTTCGTGGCCAGCCAAGTTTCTGATGCGCATAGAAGAACCGACTTGATATCCGAATCTTCTTGTTTATGCCGTGGATTGCAGAAGATTTCCAAACTGGTTATAGGTTGATGAAGGTGTATCTTGCCTTTCCGATTCTGACTGGCTTTGACATCATCCGTTCCGCGCGCCTGTTGTTGAAACGATGCTTCCTAGATAAGTGAAGGAAGTAACCTCCGTAAAATCTCTCCCGTTGATGATGATTGTTGTTGTTGGTTATCCTCATCACCTTAGTCTTCTCTGTGTTCACGTGGAGTCCTGTTTTCACTGCCAGCCTCTGCAGCCAGTTTGTTGGTTTTCGCCTGTAAGTCTTCTAATTGTGTGACACTGGACATATGTCATCTGTGAAATTCAGATCTTCTAGAATAATCTTATCGGCCCAACACATTCCTGTCTTCTCACTCTCTGTGCACAGTCTGACGCATAATCCAGTCCACTACAATTAAGAATATCATCGGTGATAATAGACAACCCTGCCTTACTCCTGTGTTCACTTCCAACGCCAGGCTGAGTTTCCCGTTGTGGACACCGGACAGGTGGCTTTGTCATACAGCCAGATGTTGAATGAGTTTGATAAAGACTTGAGTCACTGAACACCGTAATGTTGAAGTAGTTTCCAAATTACCTGTCGGTCAAGGCTCTCTGTCAAAGGCCTTTTTGAAGTTGATGAAGTTGTTGAGGTAGAGGTTTAACTGCCATTCTATGCTTCGTTCTGTGATGTCGATGCGTAGAGTTGCAATTTGATGAGCACATGATTTACTTTTCCTGAATCCAGCTTGTTCCGTGTTGGTGCAGTTCTGCATTCCGTGCATCCTTTATTCTCTCCAGGATGATGTGACTTGATATTTTACTTGGCGTGGACGAGAGCACTATTCCATTCCAGTTCTTGCACAGGCTCAAGTCGCTCTTCTTTGGCAGCTTGACAAGGTTACCAACCTTTCTTCCAATCAGTAGGTATCTTTCCTTCTCTCCAAACCTTTTGCAGTAATTGCGTGACAGCATCTGCCTCAGTCACTGGGTCCGTCTTCAGTGCTGCGCATTTGGGAGGATTCCGTCTGGTCCTGCAGCCTTCACAACTGGATTTCAGTAGCTTGATCGCATTCAGGATTTCTGCTTTGGTTGGAGGATTGTTGTCCACTGCAGGCAGTTCTGTGCATGCTGTTGTTGTTGGTGTATTTCTAGGCGAGTTGCAGGTGGTCGATTCAAGAGTCCTTTGAGGTGATCAGCCCATTGTTTGATTTGTTTCTCCTCCTTCGTAATCAGGTTCCCTAGAACATCTTTTATTGGTTTCATCATCTTGGTTGATCTCTTCTCGGATAGAGACCTGGTTATCTGATATAATGTTCTGAGATCTCTTTCACCTGCAGCCTGCCTGTTCTGCTTCAGTTACTGCCAGCCAGTGTGTCGTAGAATTGTCCTTTGTATACCCTAGCACTCTTCCTCACTTTCTTATTCAGTGCAATGCAGTGTACATTGAACCCAGCTTCTCATTCTGTTGCCCATTTTTGCATTGAGTCATCTCATTCACCATCCTGCTCTCCTCTCTTCTGATAGCCTCCAGGTAGGTATCCGTTGAGAGTCAGCCATTCCTTGTCTTGTCTCTTCTTCCTAGAACAGTTGTACACATTTCCTTGGACATCACCTTCAGAGAGTTAGTTGCAATGTTCTTCCATGCAGATTTCCTCGATGGTGGCACGTAGTGTCTCCGACTTTGCTCTGATCTGATCTGTAGTGAAGGCAGCCCTTGTAGTTTTGTGCTTCAGTTCAGTTTCTGAATGTTGGAGTTGAATTACAGTGGCCTGTCTCCAGTGCTTCTGAAGAATTTCAGCTTCATCTTGAAGTTCCTTTCAACTATACGATGGTCTAAGCCCACATCTCGATTTTGTGTCCAGCATTTTAATTATAATACCCTTGTATTCTTAACATACTTTCAATCAATATAATACACAGTTTTCTGTATCACTTGATACTCCGCTTTTAGCTGGCATGTGACATTGTTCGAGCTGCATTTGCTGATCGTGTACAATTAGAAGAACTGCTAGCCGAATGTAGAAGAGCTGATTTTGCTATATCTGCATTGGATCGCTCACCAGTGGACCGTATGATGGAAGCTACAGACTATATAGTTGGCATTATGGCTTATGAACAGACAAGGGAAACTAAAGTAAGAATATGCGCACATGCATGTTTGATTTGTGTTGGTGTTTTTCATGTATTATGTATATCTTGCCACTATGTGAATAGATGCTTGGTAAAGTTGTATGACTTGTCAACCAATATTTTTGATTGTTGCTAAATTACACTTTAAAAAAATAAGTAGGTGTGATATTCTTCCATCTCCAGGATATTCCTCTGATAGGAAAATATTTTATTGGGGATTATTAGCCACTGACCTCATTCTGAGGCAATGTTAATACCTGTTGTTTGGATTCAGAGAATACCTAAATTCTGAGGTGAAAATGATTTGGTTGGAATTTCTCAATGGAATTCAGCAAGCTAGTATTTTATGTATTCATTGACTGCTTGCTAACCGATTTCCTTATTTTTTCGAATTTGTTAGCATAGAACTTTGCACATATGTGTGGCAGTTCAAGTCGCCACAATCTATGTAGCACGCAGAGGAAGAGAAGAAAGTAGGAGAAATGCATAATATAGACACTAAACAGAGGTGTGAGACAAAAGGTATAGTAATAACGAAGAACAAAACAGTTTCATCGGAAATCATAAGTCACAAGGAGTGGATGCATCTGCGTCAATGAGAACGACTTTGAGCCATGTCACCAATTGTTTCCAGCCATTGGTTTTTACCGTCCCGAGGACCCCAACCAGGAAGCCAGTCTACACCTTCCTATGTGGCTTAGACTAACTGTTGTGGATTTCATTGACTGGTGCCATGTTTTGGTTTGACCGCCGCTAGCTCTTTTCCAGCCTGATCGTATTTCAGCTAGCATTACCCGTCGAGGAAGGCGATGACTAGGCATACGTAACACATATTCTTACCATCTCAGTCGATGCAGCTACTTCACAATTTCATCGATTGATTTCCCCTCCTTACGTAGCACTCGATCGAAGCCTCACCTCAATATCGATCACTCTATTACACCGCCTGATACACACGGGAGATAGAACGCAGACACCTATGATCGAAGACAGCTAATCTTTTCATGTCTTCCACTCTCAGTGCCCAGGCCTTAATGCCATAAAGGGGGACGGAGCGGACTACTGAGCAGTACACACATCCTTTCGTCAATAGCCAGATATCACATCTACTAAGCCAGAGACGGTGTAAACTGGCATATGCGAAACTAGCCCTCTATATTTGTGCTGAGATTTCGTCGGAGATCAACCCGTCGGGGCTGATGGTACTTCCCAAGTAAGTGAAGCGATCAACGTGCTCTACCACTTCACTTCCTATTTCTAATCTAGGGGTCGGTGTAGTTCAATCCTGCAGCATCATCTTACATTTTACAGGGGTGAATCGCATGCCAAACATACGAAGATTGTTGCTCAAGGTGTTCAGTAGACTCTGCATTTTGTCAGCGTCCTCGCCTAGAAGGACTATATCGTCTGTATATTCTAAGTCTACGAGATTATTCCCTGGTAGCAAGTCAATCCCTGAGTCGCTGAAGTCTGTTAGGGTTAAGTCCATTAATACATCTATGATGAAGTCGAATAGGAATGGGGATAATCTGCATCCTTGACGGACGCCACTAGTCGTCACCACTTCAGATGACAACTCGCCATAAGCTCTCACCTGGCGGCTGCATGAGTACGAGTAGAGTACCTTAATCAGTGCAATGTATTTTCTCGGCATTCCCTTCACAGACAAACATCGCCATAGTACCTCCCGGTCGACAGAATCGAATGCTGCCTTTAGGTCAAGAAATATAATGATTGTCGGACGCCGGTAGGAATGCCTATGTTCTAGAATCTGTCGAAGGGTGAAGATATGATCAATACACCCTCTTCCAGGCCTAAAACCTGCCTGGTTTTCTCGTGTTTGTGCCTCCCGGGCACCACTTAGTCTACGCAGTATTATTGAGCCTAGGATTTTAGATACTATATTAGTCAAGCTAATCCCTCTGTGATTATCACAAGAAGACTTGTCTCCCTTCTTGTATATCGGGATGATCAGGGACTTACACCAACCCGATGGGACTTCCTCTGATTCCCAGACGCTGCCTAGAACCTAGACAGTAAACTGTCTCCACCGTACCTAAATACCTCTGGACTCATTCCATCAGGTCCTGCTGCTTTGCCTCATTTCAGACTAGTGACAGCTTTAGTAATCTCAGTTAAGGACGGAGGACCTATGTTTATATCCCATTTAGGGAGGTGTTGGACGTTCGGCAGGTTAAGTGTGGCTGTAGGCCAATTAAACTGCTCCTCATAGTGTTCTTTCCAGCGCTCCAGTCGTCTATCCTGGGAGCTAATTATGGTGCCATTTTACTCAGAGGTTGTTTCACTTATCATTTGTTTCTTACCACCTGTTTCCCTGATAAGCCTGAATAGTTGTCTGGTACTGCCAATTGCCGATGCCTTTTCCATCTCTTTCGCTTTTGTCGTCCACCACTGTTCACGGTCGTTGCGAAGACTTTTTGTTAGTCTTCATTTAAGTGCCTTTCGCTCCTCATCATAATCGGAGCTCGCTGGAATCAGTCTTCTTGCGTCAATCAGTTCGGATGAGGCGGTACAGATCCAATAGCTTTTACTAACTTTAGGTTTTAGCTTATTAACAGCTTTCACAGCTGTCTACAGCTAACTATGTTGTGCCAGCCTACCTCGGGGGAAGTCCTGCTGTCGACCTCTGAAACTCGTTTCGCTATTTCTTCCTTAAATAAGGACTCAGTGTCTCGATCTAGTTGGGGACGTAACTGTTTCGCTGCCGTCAATTTCTTATGTCCATTTAGTCGTAAGCATAAACGTGCGCGAACCAGAGCGTGATCAGAGTCTACGCACGTGTTCCAGAAGGAGCGACAATCTTCTACTGACCCTCGCCAACGATACCCTATGGCTATGTGGTCTATCTGAGTCCAGCGTTGATTTGGTGATGGAGGTCACCAGGTTACACAATGTCTATCTTTGTGCCTAAAGTTAGTGCTGACTAGGAACAAATGAAGTCATAGGATTGGGTTGGGTTGCTGCTTTTAGTCTAACCGCTATCCAGACAACCTTTCTGGCATGGTAGGACCTGCAGGAACATAAGTTCCAGCCAGTATAGCTTGTTTGGTCATTGCGGTGTTCAAGCCCGACCACCACGTCAAGGTAGCAGCTTTCTCTTCTCTCATTTTCCTGTCTACCTTTGTGTGCTATTTGGAACGTGGCAACTCGAACTGCTGCACTTCGGTGCCAAGTTCTATGTTGAATCCAGCAGCAGCAGCAGCAGGAACAAATGATTATCTGAGCAAAAGTGAGGAAGACGATCACCGTTGTCGGTTCATCGGCAGGGAACTCCATAGGTACCACATACATACTTCTCAGTCTGGCACAACTTCCCTACTTGGGCATTGAAGTCGCCTGCTAAAACAACTATGTCTGAACGTTTTGCTTTTTGCAGCAAATTAGACAGTTTTAGGTAGAAGTCATCTTTCAATTCATCCGAACTGCAGTCTGTTGGGGCGTAAGCAGAGACTACGAAAAGGCAACGACGGGTAGCGCCGTCTTTCCTTCTTTTAACGGACCCGTTCAGACGGACCGCACATATACGACTATCTACTGGGATCCAGTCAAGAAGTGATTTTTCCGCCCTAACACTCAGTGCTATCCCTACACCTGCGAGTCCTCGTGAGCTAGCTGAGGGGTCTCCCGACACCCTTTAAGTGAATTTTGCAGATTCACCTTGTTGACCGGGTGAGGTCAAGTGAATGACCACACTCGGGTCTTGTATGTGTGTCTCCGAAACACAACATACATCCATGGCTCTAGATTCCAGAGTTCTTGCTAGTGATGCCTGTTGTCCGATTTGGCAGAGGGTCCTGACGTTAAAAGCTCCTATATGAAGTTGGCGACGTGGCTTTAAAAGGCTATCTGGGTTGTTTCTATGGCTCTCATCGTTGTTTGTGGTCGCAGAGTGAAGTGAAGATGACTCACTAGCCTGAAGAATAGTGCTAACTGTAGTAGAGAAGCAAGATGAGGAAGGTGATGTGAGTAGGGGAGAGTGATGCTCAGGTAGGCTTCGTGTGCTTTTGGAAGTGTGTGGGCGGTTGTTACTTCCCGGCTGCCCACACCGTGGAAGTTGGTTGAGTCTTCGGGTACCTGAAATAGAGAAAAGGTTAGTGTTGCGTGACCGCAGAGCCCAGGGGACAACTGCTTGAGGCCGGTCACACGCGGCCTGTTTTTGTTTGTTCTGTTTTGTTTAGTGTGTCTCAGTAGCAAATTTATCACTTCTGCCCTGTGACACGGCAGCAGGAAGCGCGGTCGTTGTTAATCCGGGCCTCGACCGATCCGGCATGATATTTTGTGAATTTGTTTGAGTTATAGCATTGGGTTGGGTAGCTGCTTTTTGTCTAACCGCTATCCAAACAACCTTTCTGGCATGGTAGGACCTACAGGAACATAAGTTCCAGCTAGTGTAGCTCGTTGAGTCATTGCGATGTGCAAGCCCGACCACCACATCAAGGTAGCAGCTATCGGTCGGGTATACACTCGATGAAGAAGGTTTAGTACACATATTAGAAGACCAGCATTCAATTCGTTATATGTCTTCAGTGTTCATATAGAAGTTCCGAAAATCACTCGTCCATTCACTTTTTGAACACATCTTACCATCGTATACATAAGATTTTCACGTAGATTAGAGTATTGAAACATTTTCAGAACCTTTTGGTTTCTCCATTCATTATCACCAATAATTTATCTTCACTTGTTATCCTCAATTTATATCGATTACTTATCCTTTTAACTCTGCAATGTGATTCATAGAACAACGTAAAGAAATATGAGAATAATGAGATGAAGATATATGGAATCATGACATGCAGCATAGTACAGTAGTTAACAGTGGGCGTAAAATTCAGCTGTTGGATTTCACATTTTAATAAGGCGTTTTGTAATGTAGAAATTTAGGCTATGTTTGATCATTAATCATTGTCATCGATCATCTAACACCAGGTGGGACGCTGTACACCTAGCAGAGATACCTTAATAATGATTCATACTGAGGTTTCCTGTTACGTTTTTTTGCTGGCTGTTGTTGGTGTTATTGTAGCGAAACATCCAAATAATTTAGTGATTGATATTGTTATTAAATGGTTGGGGGCAATCGGCAAGCAGCCTTAAACTGCTTAGGCTTCCTGCTTGTTGGCACTTGTCAGAAAGGCATATCTACAATATTGAGACAACTAATGTTCCTTTTGAGATTCGAACCCGGGTCATCCAGTGCTGCAGTCAGAGACGTTACCACTGAGGTAATCAAGCTCGTGGTTGATCCCCTGTGTTGATATACATTTTATAGCGAATATAATCAAAATTCTTGGACCTACTGATATTAGGCTGTGTGTTACTTAGTTCTTCTAATGATTGTCGAGTGAAAATGCACAACACTCGAGAAATAACCGAATAGTGCCTGTAAAAGGCCTCGTCTATCTTTAGTTTTCACTGCTGTCTAACGTCAGATAATAAATCTACCAGCGTAAGTTGATATTTCTATTGTTGGTTTTGTAAGGATTCGATTGATTTGAAGATTGGTTGTCATTTCTACATAATTATCAATGTTATAACTCATGGTTTAATATATTTCTTTCTATGCTGCATTATTATTAAATGTTTACACTCCAATCAATAATGATAATATTATAGGAGTGTTTTCAAGTGGGTGATTTTTTGGCCTCCGGTAAACAACCTAATCTCAATGCTGATATGTTAACAACATTGGCCGATTGGTTGGTAGAAGTACAAGAGAATTTTGCACTAAACCATGAAACAATACACTTAGCTTGGGGTCTGTTGTATGCATTTTTGGATCGTGGTAAAGCTCTTGCTCGGTAATTAATTTGTTTGCACTTGTGTTAACCTGAGTTATATGGTGATTTTTTCCTACTTTGCATTTATTGTAGGTTTACTTGAATGTGTATTACTGGAGTGATAGAATTAGTCTTCCTCAAATATATTTAATTTGATGTCGAGGCATTGGTAGTTTAATGGTACGATGCTCGCCAGTCATTTGGGAGGTCCGGGTTCGACGCCCGGTTGACATACTCCTTGAACCTCACCTATCCAGTAGTAAACCCGGAGATGAAGGGAGGTTGGGCGTGATGTATATCAACCGCACCTCGTAAATGCATCACTCCTACTAAATCTTCATTCTATTCGGGAAGCAAGGATTGAAAAATAGCCAACTGTTGCAGCTTTATATAATTCGAGTTGTTTTCATAATAAATAGTGTGTTGCATTTAGTCAATTCATAGGTTTGAGCGAATTCTATGGTTGTAAGGGAAACAAATTAAGTGCAGGTACGTCCTGAGGAAATTGAAAGCCCTCATACTTTGGATATTTGTTTTCAGTTACTACTAAGTTTGCTAAATGGTATATTTTACAGGAACTGATTGTAATTCCATACTGAATAAAGATCACTAAGGATCTATAGTAAGTGGATTATTCTTAGTTTGATGTCAACAGGTCATTTATCTAATGATGTTATTTAAAAACAAATATTGTATCACTTTACATCCCAAATGGAACATAGGCTTCAAGCTTGCACTTTCACGTCTCAGTGACATATGGTGTTTGTTTTTTACGGGATGCGTTTGCTAGCCTCACTCCTGACCTTCCCTCTTTGTCCGACTTACAGCCGGTAAGGGGTCGTAAAGGTAAGCGCCGGCCGGGAATCGAATCCTGGATCAGGTGTATAGTTGGCGAGCATTCTACCGCTGAACCGACGACATACAATATCTAATAATAAGTTTACACTAAATCTGGTTAACTGTGCTGTGCGATAAAAAGACAAATGTCTGTCGTGTTACGAAATAAGTTGAGATTGACTCGTTCATGATTTCAAATGGGATAGTATATATATTCTAGGGTATTAATAGGGTTAACTACTTCAAAGTGATTTTTAAGCTGTACTCGAACTATACAAACTTACTTGTCCTCTAGTCAGCTTTCTAGCTGACGTTTTAATTTGAAGTTACCATCTCCTTAAATCCATTGTAAGTACGTTGATCACCTCGTAACAGACTCGAAAACAACTTTCATTACGTGTAGAGAATAACTTCAGGCTAGCCTGAATTTACTTAGCTTACCGCCTAATTGTTGCATTTTTTTTTCACGAAGGCCTATGTGTGTTATTAGTTTCATTTTACTTTTAGACGGGAAATTCAATTGATGGCGTGTGCAGCAATCATGGTTGCGTGTAAACATGAAGAACGTCAAATGCCTCATCTGAATGAATTTATGTATATAACAGACAATGCATATACAAAAGATGAGTTTATTGAAGCTGAACGTCGTCTACTGGTTGCGATTGACTTTGCTGTTCATCGTCCAAATCCATATGTGTTTTTGCGTCGTTATGCTCGGGTAATTTACAGAAATTCCTTTTGATTGTTTTTCTTGTTAATATGGTCTACGAAGGATGTAGTTAAGCAGGTAATAGTGTAGAATTACTTCCGTTATTGTATAATAACCACTTTGGCTCCACATATAAGAACATCTCTTCAACGAATTATGTCTACTTTTTTCTCGTCATTTATGACAAATGTGCAGCATGTATTGTTGCCTGTTGTCAACAGAAACTGGTACTTTTACCATTTGTATGTGAAATAAGCAAAAAACTTAGCGTACATTAGCAAATGTTAAATAACATTCATGAATCGTTTTGTGTACAGACTGTTCGATTCTTTGATTGGTCACTAGGGTGTAACCATCGTTAGTGCTAACTTGAATTCCATCATGCAAGTTCGTAATATGGGCCACCAAGTTTGCAGGAGTTGAATGCAAGGTACACCACACTGAACAAAAGGGTAAAGAAGAGTGCCAGGGAAGACAAAAGAAAATATTATGAAGGTATGGCAAGTGAAGCAGAACAAGCTGCAGGCAAAAGAGACCTCACAACACTCTACCAAACAACTAGGTTCTTATAGGGGAAAAGGTCAACACAAATTAAGCCAGTGAAGGATGACAATGGAAAGTCACTCACCAAAGAAGTGGAGCAAAGGAAACACTGGGCTGAACACTTCAAAAGACTCCTAAATCGACCACCACCTACAACGCGCCCACTAATACCAACAGCGGAAGCAGAACTACCAGTGGACACCAACCCCCAGCGAAATCAGAAGTCCTGAAGGCAATCAAGATGCTAAAAGCTGGAAAAGCAGCAGGACCAGATGGAATCCCAGCAGAAGCATTGAAAATGGACCCAGAGACATCAGCGGACTTGATGATACCACCGCTGGAGAAGTTGTGGAAATAGGGCAAGGTACCTGCGGATTGGAAGAAAGGCTACTTATTCAAACTGCCAAAGAAAGGGGACTTAGGTCAATGCAAGAACTGGCGCGGCATTGTGTTCCTGTCCACCTCAAGAAAAATACTAAGCCGCATCATCCTGGAGAGAATCAAACATGCCCTGGATGAAAAACTCTGACCGGAACAGACTGGATTCAGGAGAAACAAGTCATACATCGATCAAACCGCAACACTGCAGATCAACATTAAACAGAGCTTGGAATGGCAGTCAGTTCTCTCTCTCTCAAATTCATTGACTTTGAAAAGGCTTTCGACAGCGTCGATCGAGGTGATTTGGCAACTACTTGGCTACTACCAATGGGTGCCGCCAACAATTATACACCTCATCCAACAGTTGTACTACAATGCTGCATTCCAAGTAATTCACAACGGGAAACTCACGGAATCCCTCGAAGTGAAGACGGGAGTAAGACGAGGTTGGCTGGCTGCCTACTATCTCCAATGAATTTTCTGATTGCGGTAGACTGGATAATGCGACAGACAGCGGGCAGCGAGGAAACAGACATAAAATGGACCCACACAGAAAACTTGGAGAATCTGAACTTCGCCGATGATATATATATATATATATATATATATATATAATATTGCTCTTAATACATTTAATCCTACTCCAAAAATATGGTGGAGATATGTGGATGACACTTTCACAGTGTTAAAAACAGAACTTATCTCTAGCTTCTTGACACATATAAACTCACTAGTAGAAGGAATAAAATTCACATTTGAATCGGAAAATAAACAAGGAGAATTAGCTATGTTAGATTGTAAAATAAAACGAATAGAAGAAGGTGAACTACATACTAGCCTTTATAAAAAACCAACGCATTCTAATAGATATTTAGACTTTAATTCATCTCATCCGTCGTTGTCTGTAAAGGCAGGCTTAGTTAAGTGTTTAACAAACCGAGCAATGGCACTAAGTAGCACAAAAAAAGACCTAAATGATGAAATAAAACAGATAGAAGAGGCGTTGTTGTTAAATAACTATCTTATAAAATTCATTAGGAAGATTGAAAAAAGCCAAAAGCCAAATAAAAATAATTGTGAAACTAGTGGTGATAACATAAATAAGAGAGAATATAAGTCATCTACTGTTATACCATGTAAGGAGGGGACATCTGAGGCCCTATGTAGGATTCTCAACAAAGCAGGAATCAGGGTGGCATTGAAACCTACAAACTCAATCAGAGACAAGCTCTGTGGGCTAAAAGACCCGGTAGACCCAATTAAACAAAGTAATATAATTTACAAAATACCCTGCAATGACTGTGAGGTCAACTATATAGGTCAAACTAGTAGATCGGGGGTAATCAGATTGTCGGAACATAAGAATTTACCTAAGGTAAGAATGGTTGACCCCGAGAAGACAAGTAATTTAGAAAAAAGGTCAGCAATTGCACTACATGCATTAACACACAATAGGGTGGGATAGGGTTAAGATTCTAAGAAGTGACCTATGTAGGTGGAGAGAGAGATTGATTACTGAATCCTTGTTCATCGAGTCTACACCCAACACATGCAACAGAAATGACTCAATGCAAATACCAGAAATATGGAAGATATTATTACCGCCAGTCAAATCAGAGGAGGATAATAAATAATCTCAAAATTCTATTTCAATTCAACCACATCACAACATTCTAACAAGTTGCTTATTATGACTATAAAAAACACTCGTCCTATTTCCCATTTGATTGTAATTGATCAATAACACTCATATTATTATTTCTGAATGTACATTATCTCATATTGAATTTTATTCAAATATCTAGTCAATTCCACACATGTATATAAATGAAGGAAAAAGTTGTGTGAGTAACTTGATATGATTATGAGCAGCAATAATTTGTGCTCGAAATCGTCATCAGTTAATATTACTGTATAACACTGTGTGATTTATCAAAATAAAATCTTATCTATAATGGAGTTATACTCAACACAGTGCCAAAGTTTTATACTTATATTTAAATATACCTGACTTCCCACAAACTGGAAGATATGCAAGTGAAAAGCAACAAGTTGACAGAAGAAGCATCAAAGGTGAAAGTGACTTCAGGTGAACTTAGAGAAAACAAAGGTGATGAAGATTCCTGGCCATCAGCAACAATCAACAAAAATGGGAGGAATCTGAAAGAAGCAAACTCCCTCACCTACCTACCTCTGAAGCATCGTCTCGACTACAGGTGGGGCTGGCGAGGATATCAAAGCAAGAATCCGGAAAGCAAGGCAAGCCTTCATTTCCTTCAAGTCTGTGTGGAGGTCAACAGCACTCAGCATGAAAAACGAGATGCGAATTTTCAACTCCAATCTGAAGTCAGTGCTACTAGACGGATCAGAGATTTGGCACCGCGTCACGAAGGGCACTTCGAACAAACTACAGACCTTCATCAACAGCTGTCTTCGCTCAGTACTACTCACGATCAGATGACCGGTAAGAAAAGGTCAGCAACAGGGAGGAATCTCTGGGAACGAACCAACCCGGTAGGAACCAATTGTGCAACAAATATGCAGGAAGAGATGGAAGTTGATTGGCCATACTCTGAGAAAACAAACCATCACATGACATCACACGCTAGGCTCTCAAGTGGGACCCGAAAGGGAAGCGGCGAGTTGGTTGTCCAAGGGTGACATAGAGGAGGTCATGTTGTGGTGAGAGCTGTCTACTAGCCAATTGGTTGACAGTAATTGAGGTCAATGTTTATGTATCAAATATTAGTCATGTTGTGGTGAGAGATGGTTGCTAGCCAAATTGGTTGACAGTAATTGAGGTCAAGGTCAAGATGGACAGGCGGATACAGTTAACATATAGATGAACTGACACAGCCACAAGAGATGCAAGGTTAACTTTGTGTGAGAAACAACCAATCAACAGACTGTATTTTCTACTAACATTAACCTACAATAATGTACATCAAAATCTATAAATACGTGTTGATTTTCCGTAATAAACGTTCTGTTGCCTGGCCCTTGTCTTCTGTTGTTACAATGTGAAGAGGAGATGAAAGCATGTGGGCAGACGTGGAGCCAGGTGAAAACGTTGGCAGAGAACCGAACGCAATGGAGACGTGTGGTTGAAGCCCTATGTTCCTCTAGGAATTAAAGGAAACAATAATAATAAGCTTAGGGGATTCATTGTCGTGATACATTTTGGAATTCCAAAGAAACTGATGTCTTCTGTAAGTTGCAGACCTGCACTACTCATTTTTATAGTCAGAGATGTCACCACGTATCTATTTAGACCATGACTGGCGTCTCGCATGTCTCTTATCGATAAACTGATTAGTAACTAGGAGATAAGTGTTCTAGCCTTCAAATGCTCAAAAATAATTTGGAAATAGGAAGGAACAGTTTGGTGAAGAGTTTCTTTTCGTGCCAGAAAAGTCTGCACAACCGACACTTTAAATGTCATTTTTATTTCTATTGTTAACTGTATTATCAATATCGTACTGTGGTACAGATGCATTATTTAGTCTCACTTTCGCAATTTATTATTATCATTATTCTACTTACATTCTCCCTGATTATATTTAATTCTATTGATCTATACTGTTTCAAATGTCTATAACTAGTGCTTTATTATGTAATTGTAAAGCCTGATGAGAATTTCACCGGGAATACGTGTATTTGCTTGCTTAAATCGTGTTCTAAAATTATTTCAATGGGAATATTTAAATTATTTTTGTATATATATGTGTGTGTGTACATAGCACAAGAATAAAAATTAGTTTCGAATATTGTTCACATCATTAGAATATTTCAAAATAGTGATGAATCATCAAAATTGTAACTAAGGTGGGTAAAGATTTGTAAGTTTAGACTAAGGTGACGCAATATGAAAAAATGTTAAAAAAATTGGATTTTAATGAAAGAGCATGATGACGAGTATCCTCAAAATAAATTATGTGAAGAGGGTCGGTGGCACAGCGATTAGGACGCTCGCCGACCATGCACATGGTCTGGGGTTCCATCCCCGGCCGACGCACTCCTTTACTTCGCTAAGTCAGTAGTGAGACTGGTAAAGCGGAAAAGCTGGGCATGAGGCTAGCAACCCCATCTTGTAAAGATAAACACTGCTACAGAAACTTCAAGCCACTAGCTTGAAGCCCTATGTTCCACTGGGGAACGTGAAGGAAAAAAAGGGAGGTGATGGGATGAGTTTCTTCTGTATACATAAATCAGGGTTTTCAATCCAGTTCACTAAGGCCTCGGTAATGCATACCGTTTTCGAGAGGCTTCTTCTGACTTTGTAGATAACTTCTCCTTGCATATCGATTGATGATCAGTGTTGAATATATATTCAGTTATAGCACTCCTTATTCATCCGTCATAACCTCTCTGTAACCGTATGGGATAATGTCCTTTGACTCTTTCTTTAGATAAAACACTCATCGAACGACTTATATATCTCGCTTTACATCAGCAAGCGAAGTGATATATACACATAGGGAGTGGTCAAATACAATAGTTTATCTATAGAGTTATTGAAGAACGTTGGGTGGCAAGAGAATACCAATTGTAATGTAGAAGCGAAGAATTTTCTTTTCATGGGGTGTTTGATATTCTCTTCAATACTGAACTATTAATTAGAAAGTGATTGAAAGTTAAGTGTGTCCAATAGGATATCAGAAAATAATCGGTTTCCTTTGTCTGTTTGTTTCTTTTTTAAGCTTTTTTCCCCCTTATTTTGATCGCTGCTCTTTTATGTCTCCTTCCACTCTCGGCCTGCTTTAATATACGTACGTGTAAGTGTCGATTTCATAGATTTTACGTAATTTCTGGTTTTTTTCCACGTAATAATGATAAATTGTTTCTAAAGATGGTATTTAAAAAACACAACTCTTTTTAAGGTTTTGGATGCTCACAGTGGACCAATTCAGTTTACCTCACGATTCCTCTTAGAAGCTGGTATGCACAGTCATGTGATCAGTTTAAAGCGTGAATCACGTAAAGCTGCAGCTGTCTTATGGCTTGCTCGAGTTGTTCTTCGTAATCCATCGTATGCAGATTGGACACGTAGAGCTGATGTACATCAGTTAAGGCAATTAATTCAAAACAATCTGTATGCTCAAGCTTATTATACTCATTGTCGAAATCAGAAAACTAAAATAACTAATAATAAAAATAATCCTCGAACAAGATTAAGTCAATTGGCTGGACAAACTGTTGATTCATCTAAATCTCCACACAATTTATCAGCTTCAAGTTCATGTGACTTTGATTGTTTTCAGTTTAAATTCACAGAAAAGCCTTTTAATGGTTTATCCTGGTAAGTATAAGCTGTGGTTATTGTATTTTTTTTGTATAATGTAATAGAGATATGTAACACTAAAATTATCGGAAAACTGAGGCCCTTGAAATTCATTTCTTAAACAGATGAATCAACGTTTTCATAGATGAGGTTTAATATTTTGAAAGTATCTGTGCGTCGGAGGCACAGTGGTTAGGACTCTCACTGACCATGCACATAGTCTGGGGTTCGATCCACTGCCGACGCACACCTGATATCAATGGTCGACCTGCTACATTTGGGCTACTGATATCACATGCTGAAAATTCCATACTTGTACCAAAAATACGATGTGGAATCAAGCTATAATAAGAACAAAAAAACACTAATTTTTTGCTGAATTTTGTTCATTATATCTTTGTGCAGCCGATAACAGGAGTTTCTTGCAAATATTATGTATACTATAAAAAAAAACACAAAATTGGTACATTATCAGTACCAAAGGATGCGCCATCTGACTGACTGACTGGTTTCAACATAGAACTATGCATAGATGTGCAGCAGTTCGAGTCACCCTCTCCCTCCAAGTAGCACACAAAGCCAAAGGGAAGAGTAAATGGAGGTTCAAATTGAGATAATAAACAGAAGTGTGAGGGGAAAAGAATAGTAATATGGAAGAACAGTAGAGTTTTATTGGATATTATAGATCACCAAGAGTGATGAATGCATCTTCGCCAGCCATTTAGAACGATGAGTTCCAAAGACTCTAGTCAGGAAGTCTACACTTCCCTACTTGGCTGGCTGGCTCAAACTAACTGTGCCATACAAAATCCCACTGTTTTTGCGAGAGCTGGGATCCTGCTCAGACAGCAACAGGTGGTTGTCTCAACGGGTCACGTCCCGACCCTTTGACTTGAAGTCTGATCTACAGGGCAGTGGAGCAGCGTAAGGAGCTACAATTCTATGGTTTTTGGTGAGCCAAACAGGTTCATACGCCATTCGATCCGTTCGGATTGTGGAGACTATGTACACCACAGTAGGTTTGGAGTCAGAGTTTCTCAACTCCTCTAAATAAGTAAACCAGAATCTTCGCCAGTCTGTTTGTAAGCGCCAGACGTTCTCAGTCATCCTTTCACTTTTATGAAGAACATACCGGCAGATAAAATCTGAGTGAGGATTTTGAGGACATTTAAATATCGGTTCCTAACATTGGAACATCTTATTATATAACCTAGGGACTCATTTTTACAAAGGTACTCTAGTCTTTTAATTATGTATTTGTTAGCTGTGTCAGTCGCAGACTGTATCCTTTCTATTTGTACTTTCATGTCTCCCCGATATGTATAATCTGAGTCAGAATTCTGACTTTTCATTATCTTGGTATGCTTAATCTGTCTCTTTTCGGCGAATTCATTTTCAAAGCTGTACAATCGCAAATATATATGGTTATTTTGTGTGTGTGTGTGTATACATTAAATTTGCCAAAGGAAAATACGGTTAGTAAGTTGAAATGAATTGGATGTTGATAAGAGGATAGTAACAAAAGTGATGAGTTGTCATAAATGATTGTTAAATAAGAGTTACGCAATGGCATGAATAGTTTGATGAATGAGGTGTACTCAAAGGGTGTACATGGAAACAAAATAATATACAGAATTACACAATGGTTTTAAGTTAGAAAATACAAACAGAAGTAAGGTCAAATCAAACAAACAAAGAAGAGTTGGGTCAAATCAACGGAGTTGTTACCATGCCAGTAGAAGTGGTTGGATGATTTTCTTTTGTATGCATAGTTCTGGTTCCACCAACTGGATGGGTAGGGCTTCTGCGATGCAAAGAAGACAGAATCATACTTTATTTGGGAGGTTGTTCTTCACTTTGTAGATCACTTTGAAGGAGACGTTCGTTGAGATGGAATGACCAGTGTTGACGAGATGTTCGATTATTGCACTCCTTATATGGCCATTATTTCCTTTCTGTAGCCACGCTGGGTAGTGTTCTTTGACCCTTTTTGACAGGATGCGCGTTGAACGACCGATGTACCTGGCTCCACAGCAAAAGGTGAACTGATATATACACAAATTTAATGTATATATATATACACACAAAATAACCATATATATTTGCGATTGTACAGCTTTGAAAATGAATTCGCCGAAAAGAGACTCTTTGCTGAACTACTTGTCTTTTGTCTACTAATGTCCGAATGAGAATTATTCATGAATTAATCTGTCTCTGTTTCAGTTGATTATTATTATTATTGTTTTTTCCATAACAGTTGTCCTATGTTCTTTATATTTTTCTAGTGATAATTTGGATGAGTCACTGAATCTGACTTTCTCTACTGTTGTACGTGCACCACATTCAACGCCCAGTAGTAACAATAATCTCCCTGCTTCATCATCTGTGATTGACTCTTCTACTGAAAATCACGCTTTTGATAATCTGGATCCGTCAGTCAAATCTGATCTTGAAGCAATGCAGTTAGAAGAAGAACAACGTCAACCATTGTGGCCTCCTATTTTAGAGCATATAACTGGTTACAAAGAAGCAGATTTGATCCCTTTAGCTCTACGTTATCATTCAATCGCTTTAAGGTTAATAGCTGAAGTTGCTCGTGGAGGTCGACTGGCTTCAGCTAGTACTGATAACTCTGATATGCCTACTAATCTAAGCGTAAAAAAATCGGATAATGGCGGAAATGTTCATATAAATGAAGCTGATGCAGAAGACCCATCAGCTGCACAGAATTCACGTTGTGTATCACCTGGTGGCCATTATTTACGTCGTCAGTCTGTCAGTAAATACTGTTCAAGGTAAGATTTGTCAGGCCATTCCGCTAGTTGTTTTTTCCTACTCTCAGCATATATTCTTGGTTATTAGTTCGATTCCTGCTGTATGCCTTTACGTTTGAGCATATTACTTGTGTACCGGAATCTATTCATATACATTTATTCACTCTGCAGACTGACTAATGCCTACTATCTTGATGTAGTACTCCGTCTTGTTGTTAATACAAATTTAAAGTGTAGTTTAAAAACTAACTGTATTGACCTTCATCCGCTGTTTAACATTTCATCTTAAAACAAAAGTTCATATTATAATAGTATGGCGTAATAGTTCAATACAGAGATGGTCAGCACTGCGTATATATCATCATTTTGGAGTCGTTGAAACGTCTCTTATAGAAACATTGTGTTTCTTTCCATGTTGTCGAGTTTTATGCATAGGCGGGTTGGCAAGACTACTTTGAGCGTATACAAATGTTTTAAAGTTTAAGATAAAACCACTGAACTTATACTCTCAAGATTTAATGTGACCTGATAAACAACAATCCATTTTGTGCTAAAATGAGGTGCTTCCATTATTTCTCCATCTAAGTTATTGCTTTGTCTAATCCAGCAACTTAAAGCTTTTTATATCACTTTCGTGTGTCATTGAAATATGGTACAGAAAAGATAAGCAACAGGGAACTCTGGAGATGAACTAATCAAGGGCATTTTACCCAACAAATATGCCGACAAAAATGGAAACGGACTGGACACACGTTGAAGGTACCAGTGAGTGACATCATGCGTCAGGCAGTCGAGCAGAACCTGACGGAGGACACAACGAGGTCAGGCGTCCGAGGATAGCATGAAGAGGAGATCGTGTGAGGAGGAAATTGGAGCTTATGGTCAATTGTGGAACCAGCTAGAGACGACTTCAGAAAAGAAGATGAAATAGAGATGTGCTGTTGGAGGCTTATGTTCCACTCGAAACCCAAGGGAATAATAATAATAACAATACATTTCTATTTATAAGCGCAATAGCCCAATCCATGTTTCGCAAATGGAAGTGAATCCCTAAGCTGAAGAACAAATTGATTAGTTTGTCTAGTAGGTCATTTTACTCGGTCTGAGAAGTACTTGTACACTTTTCAGTTCCTTTTTATTGAATCTACTCTTTATAATCATTGACTAATTGAATCATAATTCCAAGTACAAAAGTTCGGCTATTCTGACCATTTGAATAGATGAGTTCTAGGTAATTTTTCCAGAAAGTCATTGATTTATATATGTTCTTTATTTCTGCTAACTGTATTCATTATTATTATTGTTTCTCCTATGTTTAGAAATTCCAAATTCTCATTGAACAACTTAACACTCTCCACATACTACTTACTTAATAATAATAATACCTTGGTAGTTACTACATTTTCGTCTTTGTAGTTCGCGCTCTATCCCCCTTGTTAAGCGGTTTAATGTGGTGAGTAGTATTGAGATTAGGCATAGAGTATTAGGTAAGGAGGGTAAGTCCATCGATCAAATTGTGCAGCTACTCCGGTTGAGAGATAGCTAGGGCGTGTCGTGTTGTGCATGCTTTCTCGACGGGTAATTTTAAATGACATTGGATTAGTTTGGCAAACAGTTAATGATAATCAATCCAAAACCTGACATCAGTTGGTTTGAGCTACGTAGGGAGGTGTTCACTGCGAGGATGGAGTTCTCAGGATTCTGGAGACTATTAGTGATATGGCTCAAAATCGTTCACAATGACAGAGATGCATTTACTCTTTGTAATCTTGAATATACACTAAACTGTCATGTTTTTGTTCCGCGTTACGATTCTTTCTCCCTCATATTTCTGTGTATTATAGTCCTTTGGAATCCTTGTTTCTCACTGTTTTGTCTACCTTTGCACATGATGCAGTGTGGCAACTTGAATTGCTTCACTTCTTAGCAAACGTCTATGCTGAGACTCAGTCAGTCAGGTGTGTACGTATTGGGTGCATCGTACGTGAGTCTCTGTGTGTTGACATGCAGAGTCTTCTGAACACCTTGAGCAGCAGCAATCTTCGAATGTTTGGCATGCCATTCGCTCCTGTCAAATGTAAGATGATGCTACAGGATTGGGCTGGACAATAGTGACTCCTAGCTTAAAGATAGGCAGGAGTGAAGTGGTAGAGCGTGTTGCTGACCACTTCACTTATTTAGGAAGTTGCATCAGCCAACGCCAGCTGGTTGATCGCTGACGAAGTCTTCGCACGGATACAGCAGGCTTGTTTCGCATATGCCAACGTACGCCATGTCTGGTGTAGATGTGATCTTCGACTATCCATCAAAGGACGTGTTTACTACTCAGTAGTTCGCCTTGCCCTCCTTTACGGCTGCGAGACATGGCCATTGAAAGTGAAAGATATGGAAAAAGGCTAGCTGTCTTTGGTCATAGGTGTCTACGTTCTGTCTATCTCCCATGTTGAGTGGGATAATAATGTGAGCAATATTGAGCTTAGGCGTTGGTCGAATGCTAGGTAAGGAGGGAAAATCAATAGAGGAGGTTGTGAAGTTACACTGATTTGAGATGGTTAGGATATGGGTTACGCATGCATCCCTAGCCATCGTCTTCTTCAACGGGCAATGTTGGCTGACTGACAAGGATGAATCAGGCTGGAAAAGAGCTAGATAGTGGTGGTCAAACCAAAACATGGCTTCATCAGTCAATGAAATCCTCAATAGTTAGTTTAAGTCAGCCAAGTAGGGAGGTGTAGAATACCTGACTGGGATCCTCTGTATAGTAAGAACCAAGGCCTAGAGCTGATTGGTGATATGGCTCAAACTCATCATTCTCAATGGCTGGCGAAGATACATTCATCACTTTTTGTGATTTATCATATCCAATAAAACTATACTGTTCTTCCATATTACTATTCTTTTTCCCTCGTACTTCTGTCTATTATCCCTCTTTTGAACCCCCCTTACCTCTCGTCTCTTGCTTTGTGTGCTACATGGAGAGAGAGTGGCGACTCAAACTGCTGCACGCCTGGACAAAGTTCTATGTCGAAACCTGTCAGTCATTGCTGACATTGCTTTCACTGCATATCAGTTAGACAGACAAAAGTGTACCACTCTTGGAATATAACGTAAATACTTCTTTTTCCCCCATTTAGTCCCGTTGTTTAGCTAGTCCACATTGTTCTTTTTTATATGTAAGATGGCGATATATATATTTCGTGTGATTACTCATATTCTCTCTTATTTCTTTTAACCATTGTGTGTGTTTGTTTTTTATTGCAGTGCATTTTTAAGTGTAGCTGATGCTTATCCTCAGTTGGCATTTGACAATTTTGTCCCATATTTCCCATCCATCCAATGCACAGAAACATGCCAGTGTTTTGTTTGCGTTAATCTCATCCGTCGAATGAATTAACAACAACAAGAACAACAATACCAAGCCTTTAAGTGTAGGCTAGAGAAGCACTCTCTCTTCTTTATTTATTTTATTTCCCCTACTTCAGTTAATCTTCTCAACTACTTTATGCAGCATTTTTATCTTGTCACTATTTTCTTTTTTTTATGATTATTGTCAACTTGTCTTTCGTATGTGGTATTTTTTTATCTATGTATAATCCATCAATTCATCTACTGGTTTTTTATGGATTTTTTTTACTGTTGTTAGTAAAACATTTGATTTTAAACGAAGAGCTACTCTCTGATTTGATGGTTTTTAATATTTGACGTAAATATCTATTCTCCTAGGATTTTCTATTCCCTGAAATGTGACATTATTTCATCAGGCTCCGCCGCCTCCTCCTCCTCAGGTGAAGATGTTTTTGTGTACATAGGTATTCATGTAATCTCTAAAGCACACATAATCTTCACTTTCATATTATATATATATATCCTATCACTATTAAAAAACAACTAATATTTGGTTATTGATTTCTTTTTTAATCAGAAACGAAATCCCCTTTTTTATCCTTTTCTCTCTCTGTCTCCCTCTTGGTGGTCTCCCTGATTAATTAAAACAAAAAATGTCTGTTTTTATTTTACGAGATACCTGTTTTTTCTGAATGTGTGTGTGAAACTACTAATATTTACGTCCATCATCAAACATATAAAATATTATTATGTTTTTCAAATGTGTACTCACAATATGTGTTAAAAATTGATTTTAACATCCTGTTTGATCTGTGTGTGTGTGTGTGTGTGTGTATTACTTAATCTGTACTCAGGTATTTTATTAGGTGTTGTATTTTTATTCGTCAAATACTAAATAATATTACTACTAATAATATGTTGTGTAGTATGTGTCGGTGTGCGGTAGTTAGTTGGGTGAATCATATAGTCACATTAATTGTATTTTGTTTTTAATCCTACAATTATTATAATAATTGTTATTCTAATCTACCGTCAAAAATAATAACGCATGAATAATATATCTGTGTGTGTGTGTGTGTGTCCGTGTCCGCATGTAACAACAATGTTATGTATCAATATCAACCTGTGGAATTGAACCCTAATCTTAGCAAATCTTATAAACTGTGTTTTGTGAATGATTCTATGAATATATAATATATATGTGTGGCACGTGTTCTGTTCTTCCTCTATTTGTGTGTGTGTTTTTTAATTTCTTAATTAGTACCCTACATCTCATATTATTAAGAGCGAAACGAAAGTACAGAAAGCGGGTATACCACAAGAGGTATACCACACAAAATCTAATAGTTGTTTGCACGAGAGCTGGAATTCTGTCCGAATGTCTAAATCAAAGCAGGTGGTAGGTAGGTAGGTTGCCTCAAGGAAGCCTTCGACTTGAAGTTTGATCCACAAGTCAGTGGAGGAGTTACGTTCCTGTGGTTACAAATATTCAAAACGGGCTCATACGGCATTTGATCCGTTTGGATTCTGGTGTGGAATGAAAGTTTCTTAGCCCACCTAGCCAGGTAGACCAGGATGTATGCCGGTGCGGTTGTAAAAAGAGCCTAATGTTCACATTTTTTTGTGAGGAACACACATCAACAAAAGTATAAGTAATGAAAGTAAAACAGTAATTGAGAATTTTAGTCTGGAAGGTAAAATATTTTAAATCTTTCATGTTTTATTAATTCGTAAATAATGTAGAAAATATTTCTATCTACTCATCACACGTGTGGTAGTCATTAGCGTTTTTTTGTCGGTTGTTGCTGCTGCTGCGGGATTCAACATAGAACTTGGCACCGAAGTGCAGCAGTTCGAGTTGCCACCTTCCAAATACCACACAAAGGTAGACAAGAAGATGGACGAGTGAAAAGAATCAATAAAGTTTTGACAAGTATAAGAGTGAAACAGAATGAGTAATGTTAGAAAGGAATATGAAAGATTACAGAGACTGAATACATCTGCATAAGCCATTGACAACGATTTTGAACCATGTCACCTATTGTCTCCAGCCATTGATTCTTAGAGTCCCGAGGGCCCCAATCCGGAAGTCTGCATCTCCCCGTCTGACTCAGTTTAACTGTCAGGGATTTCATGGATTGATGCCATGTTTTTGTTTGACCACCACTTACTCTTTTCCAACCTGCACCTATATCAGCTAGTAATGCCCGTCTGGGGAGACGATGGTTAGGCATGTGCAGCACGTGACCTAGCCATCTCAATCTATGTAACTTCATAGCCTCATCGATTGATTTTCCCTCTTTGCCCAACACTCTACGTCTAACGTCAACATTACTTACCTTATTATATCACCTAACGCGAGAAAGAGATCGTAAACATCTGTGGTCAAAAACAGACAATCTCTTCATGTCTTCCGCTCTCAGTGGCCACGTCTCACCGCCATAGAGAAGGACGGAGCGAACTACTGAGCAGTATACACGTCCCTTGGTTGACAGCCGGATGTCACGCCTACGCGAGAGACGGTGTAAGTTAGCGAAAGCAGCCCGAGCTTTCTGGATCCGTGCTGTGATTTCGTCACCAATCAATCCGTTGGTGGTGATACAACTTCCCAAATAGGTGAAGTGGTCAACATGTTCTATCACTTCACTCCCTATCACTAAGCTAGGAGTTGACGTAGTCCAGTCCTGTAGCAGCATCTTGCATTTCACAGGGGCGAATCGCATGCCAAACATACGAAGATTGCTGCTCAAGGTGTTCAGTAGACTCTGCATTTTGTCAGCGTCCTCTCCTAACAGGACTATGTCGTCTGCGTATTCTTAGTCTATAAGACTATTCCCTGGTAACAAGTCGATTCCTAAGTCGTTAAGTTCAATTAAGGATACTTCCATTAGCATACCTATGATGAAGTTAAACAGAAATGAGGAAAGTGGACATCCCTGACGGACACCACTGGTTGTTATCAATTCAGATGACAATTCCCCATAAGCCCTTACACAGCTACGTGAGTTTGAGTAGAGTGCCTTGATTAGTGCAATGTACTTTCTTGGCACTCCCTTCACAGACAAACATTGCCATAGAACCTCTCGATCCACGGAGTCGAAGGCCGCCTTCAAGTCAAGAAATATGGCAATTGTTGGACGCCTAAAAGTGTGTCTATGTTCTAGGATCTGTCAGAGAGTGAAGATATGATCTATGCACCCTCTACCTGGTCTAAAGGCTGCTTGATTTTCCCTCGTTTGTTCCTCCCGAGTTCTGCTTAGTCTGTGCATGATTACTGTGCCTAGGATTTTAGAGACTATGTTCGTTAGGCTGATTCCTCTATGATTTTCACATGAGGACTTATCTCCCTTCTTGAATACTGGTATAATAAGTGACTTACCCCAATCTGATGGAACCGTCTCTGATTCCCAGACGTTACCTAGTACGTTAGTTAAACTATATACTAGTGTGTCACCCCCATATTTAAACACCTCCGGAATAATTCCGTCGGGTCCTGCCGCTTTGCCTCGTTTCAAATTACAGATTGCTTTGGTGACCTCACTTACAGACGGTGGGCCAGTGTCTATATTCCATTCGGGTGTGTGCTGGATGGCGGGGAGGCTCAGTGTGGCTGTAGGCAAGTTAAACTGTTCCTCGAAGTGTTCTTTCCAGCGTTCGAGGCGTCTATCCTGAGAGCTAATTAAGGAGCCATTTTTCTCACAAATAGTCTCACTTATGATTTGCTTTCTCCCACCCGTTTCCCTGATGAGTCTAAAGAGTTGCCTAGTGTTGCCTATCGCCGATGCTTTTTCCATCTCTTTCGCCTTTGCCAACCACCACTGTTCACGGTCCTTGCGGAGACTTTTCGTAAGTTTTCTTTTGTGCAGCTTTCGCTCCTCATTGAATTCGGAGCTCGCCGGAATAAGTCTTCCAGCATCTATCAGTTCGGATGACGCAGTCGAAATCCAATGGTTTTTACTCACCTTTGGATTTACCTTATTCACAGCTTTTACAGCTGTATCTATGGCTGATTGAATATTTTTCCAGGCTTCTTCAGGATGAGCGCAGCTGTCAAACTCAGATATGTGTTTAGCTAGTTCTTCCTCAAATAGGGACTTAGTTTCCTGATCGAGCTGGGGACGTGATGGGTTTACCGCCAGCTGTTTCCTACGTCCGTTCAGTCGTAAGCACACACGAGCGTGGACCAGTGCGTGATCGGTATCTACACACGTGTTCCAGAAGGAGCGACAATCCCCTACCGACCCGCGCCAACGATAGCTTATTGCTATGTGGTCTATTTGTGTCCAGCGTTGGTTTGATGATGGAGGTCGCCAGGTCAAACAGTGTCTCTCCTTGTGTTTGAAGTTAGTGCTTACAAGAAACAAGTGATTATCTGAACAGAACTGTAGGAGACGGTCACCGTTGTCGGTTCGCTGGCACGGAATTCTGTGTGTGCCACCGACATTCTTCTCAGATTGACACGATTTCCCTATTTGAGCATTAAAGTCACCAGCTAAAACGACTATATCTGAGCGTTTAGCCTTTCGCAGCAAACTAGACAGCTTTTGGTAGAACTCATCCTTCGTTTCATCCGAACTGCAGTCAGTGGGGGCGTAGGCGGAGATTACGAAAAGGCATCGGCGTGTAGTGCAGTCCTTTTCACTGATCCGTTCAGACGGACAGCACACATTCGGCTATCTACCGGGATCCAGCCAAGTAATGTCTTTTCTGCCCAAGTACTCAGAGTTATCCCAACACCAGCTAATCCTCGTGAGCTAGGTGTCGCATCTCCTGACACCCTCAAGGTGAATTTTGCATATTCATCCTGTTGGCCAGGTGGGGTTAGGTGAATAACCATACATGGGTATTGTATGCGTGTTTCTGATACACAACATACATCTATGGCTCGGGATGCCAGAGTCTTGGCTAGTGATGCTTGTTGTCCTATTTGGCAGAGTGTCCTAACATTAAATGCTCCTATATGAAATTGGTGGCGTGGCTTTAGGAGACTATCGATGGTGGCTTTTTGGCTTCCGTCGTTATCAGTGCACACAGGGTAAAGAGGAAGTGAAAGGCCATCGAGTAGAGGAGTTGCATTAGTAGAAGGAAGGCAAGATAATAGAGATGAAGATGGATACAAAGGTGAGTGAGGATTAGAGATGTTTCGTGTGCACTTCGGATTGTGAGGACGATTGTTACTTCCCGGCTGCCCACACCGTGGAAGTTGGTTGCGTGACCACAGAGCCCAGGGGACAACTGCTTGAGGCCGGTCACACACGGCCTGTTTTTGTTTGTTGTTTTTTATTTGGTGTGTCACAGTAGCGTATTTATCACTTCTGCCCTGTGTTACAGCAGCAGGAAGCGCGGTCGTTGTTAATCCGGGCCCCGACCGATCCGGCATGATATTTTGTGATTTATTTGAAATCATAGGATTGGATTGGGTAACTGCTTTTTGTCTAACTGCTATCCAAACAACCTTTCTGGCACGGTAGGACCTGCAGGAACATAAGTTCCAGCCAGTATAGCTTGTTGGGTCATTGCGGTGTTCAAGCCCGACCACCACGTCAAGGTAGCAGCTTTCGGTCGGGTTTTGTCGGTTGTGTAAACCAACAGGTTATTGTGATAAAGTTCAACAGTCCCAAATCTCTTGTCATAAGGTTGATCACTAATGTGGTGAGAGCTGTCTACTAGCCAAATTGGTAGACAGTAATTTACGTCAATATTTACGTTCCCAAGATTTGTCGTGAGAAAATGTGAACAAAGATTGATTCAAAGCCGACCACAGCAGACTTTGCGTAGGCGGACGCAGTTAACATATAGAGGATTTGACATTCAAGAAACAGTCACAAATAGATGAAAGATTAACTTTACGTGAGAAACAACCAATCGGAAGACTGTGTTTGTTTTCTTAACTAATCTATAATAACGTACATGAAAATATATAAATATGCTTTGATTTCCTTAATAAATGATCTGTTTCTGACTCTTGCCTTCTGTCGTTACACTAATACCGATGATATTTTTAATTCTGGTGAACTTGATTATGCTCGAGAATGTGGAGAGCAAGACGATCTGAAGCTTTGCCGACGATGTATCTCTAATGTCACATATACTCGAAGATATACAGGTGAAAACTAACAGGAAGGCAAAAGAAGCAACAATGAAGACTAGAACTTCCAGTGAAAATACAGAAGAGAGGGAGTGACGAAGACAATCAACAAAAAGCACCAATTACTGTCAACGAAATAATTTTGAAAGATGTTACTTCCTTCATTTATCTACGCAGTGTTGTTTCAGCTACAGGCGATGGCACCGATGAAGATGTCGAAACCAGAATAAGAATGTCAAGACAGACCTTCAACACTCTGAAATCAGTTTGTAGATCTTGTCCACTCATTCAGCATAAACAACAAGAATCGGATTTTCAACATCAATATCAAGCCAGTTCTTCTTTAACGTTTAGAGGCTAGTCGTGCGAGTCGCAAAAAGCACTTTGAACAAATTGCAGACTTTCATCAACAACTGTCTTTGCTGGCTTCATACTGTAGACCAAATGGCCAGAAAAAATTAGCAACAAGAAACTCTGGGAACGAACCTGTCAACAACTTACTGCGCAGCAAATATTCCAAAGAAAATGGAGGTGGATTGGATATACGCTGATGAGATCATTGAGTTATATGAGGTGCCAGGCCCGCGAGTGGAGCCCTAATGAGAAACGACGAGTTGAGCGTACGAGTGCCCCATTTAGCAGATCGTGTGAGGAGATGAGACCTTATGGGCCATCTGAAAAGGCATTCAGAGAACTGGACATATATATATATATGTATATATATGGTTAAAGAGTATATAAATTGAAGTGAACTTCAAGCAAGTTCACTGGTCAGTAGATATTTGTACCAATAGAATAATTGCAATGAGTCACCCTATATTTGTAACTATAATCTCAAACTGTCATTGTTATAAGTAAACTATTTGACAACACATTGTCATACTACGGATCATCATTTAACAGAGTTTGGAATGTCAGTCACCCCTCTATCTCAACTTCATCGACTTTGAATAGGGCCCTCGATCGAGAGGTGATTTGGCGACTACTTCGCTACTACGGGGTGCCACCTACAATTATACATCTCATCCAACAGCTGTACGACAATGCTGCATGCCAAGTAATCCACAACAGGAAACTTTCGGAATCCTTCGAAGTGAGGACAGGAGTAAGACAAGGCTGCCTACTATCGTCAATGATTTTCCTGATTGCAGTAGATTGGATAATGCGACAAACAGCGGGCAATGAGGAAACAGGCATAAAATGGACTCACACAAAAACTTGGAAGATCTGGACTTCGCCGATGATATATGTCTGATTTCCCACAAACTGGAAGGTATGCAAGTGAAAAGCAACAAGTTGGAAGGAGAAGCATCAAAGGTGAGAGGGACTTCAGGTGAACATAGAGAAAACAGAGGTGATGAAGATTCCTGGGCAACACCACCAACAGACAACAATCAACAAAAATGGGAGGAATCTGAAAGAAGCAAACTCCCTCACCTACCAACCTGTGAAGCATCGTTTCAACTACGGGCGGGACTGAAGATAATATCAAAGCAAGAATCGGAAAAGCAAGACAAGCCTTCATTACTCTCAAGTCTGTGTGGAGGTCAACAGCACTCGGCATGAAAAATAACATCCGGGTTTTCAACTCCAATGGGAATTCAGTGCTACTATACGGATCAGAGACTTGGCACGTCATGAGGAGCACCTCAAACAAACCACAGACCTTCATCAACAGCTGCCTTCGCCCAATACTCAAGATCAGATGACTGACCAGAAAAGATCAGCAACAGGGGGGGATCTCTGGAAGTGAATCAACCAGGAACCAAATGTGCAGGAAGAAATGGAGGTGGATTGGCCATACTCTGAGGAAACCATCAAGTGACATCACTAGACAAGCCATTGCTCTAGTGGAACCCGAAAGGGAAGCGGTGAGTTGGTCGTCAGTGCGAGGGTGACATGGAGAAGGTTGTGTGAAGAGGAGATGAAAGCATTTGGGCAGAATTGGAGCCAGGTGAAAACGTTGGCAGAGATCCGAACGCAGTGGAGACGTTTGGCTGAAGCCCTATATTCCTCTAGGAATTAAAGGAAATAACAATAATTTTTTCAAGAAGCTGTGGGCTTACAAAACAAAACGTGCAGGGAAAAAATTGATTTTCTAAACACTCTGGACTTGTCTTAATTAATTAGTGATTCAGTCTAACTCGACTCAGTAATTATACCATAGAATTTCAACATCCATGGTTTGGATACATGGTATTCTCAATAATATGGGTGGATTGTACTGACAGACTGTGATATTGAAACATTGGTTGGATGATCGTGATAAAATCTTCGGTTACAAACTGCATATTTAATTCCTGTCAACTGTTTATTTTCAATTTACATGCATTGATAAGGAGTTTTCTGGGGTTCAATCGTGTCTATTCATTCAAACAATAACTCATTTGTACATAATGTTTTCAATGAACATAATATTTCTAGAGTGACAAGAGGCTACATTATTTCTTGCTTCTTTTCTTTGACATCTTGTCACTAAGATGTTCACTTTGTTTTCTTTTGGTCACATTTTTAAATACTGTCGTCTTCTTATCGTCTGCTTCCTTTGTATATGGATATAAAGGATCATTTGTTGGCAGAATAGTGATATATTCATCAGGTTTCATACTTTCGGCTAATTGGCGTATATACTCTGGGCCTACACGACAACAACCACCAACCCATTGAGCTAAAGGCAGTATAGTACTACTACCACTAGTGCATACTTCTTTATTGTTAGAATTTGTTACACCTAGACTTGATATACTGCGTTTTTGAGACCATTGTAAAATGGTATTCACCCATCTTTTAGGTCCTAAAGTTGTAAGTGTCGGCAACAGCTGACCTCGTTTTAAACGTTTACTACTTGGTGGGATCCATATCTGTCCATCATTCGCTAGGAGTATGAGAATTTTACGCTTAGCTCCATTGATAATTGATTCTTCAGAGTGATGTTTTCTGATTGTACACGGTGGTGGATGAAAGCCTTCTTCATTTCCTGATTCACAGGGATCATATATACTGTAGAGGTTAGCTAATGCTTGACCAATCATATTATTGGAGATATTACAGCATATACCAACTCCAAATACCTGAAATTAACAAAAAATAAAATACTATAGTTTCCAGGATATTTGTCAAATATTCATTGTCTGTAAAACTTGCGAATAACAGAACAACAAATTAACGATTATTCTACAGTAAATTATTATTATTGTTTCCTTTAATTCCTAGAGGAACATAGGGCTTCAGCTGTGCGTCTCCATTGCGTTCGGTTCTCTGCTAGAGTCTTCACCTGGCTCCGTGTTTGCCCACACGTTTTCATCTCCTCTTCACATGACCTCCTCCAAGTCACTTTTGCACTGACGACCAACTCGCCGCTTCCCCTTCGGGTTCCACTCAAGGGCTTGTCTAGTGATGTCACTTGATGGTTTCCTCAGAGTGTGGCTAATCCATCTCCGTTTCTTCCTGCCTATTTGTTTCACAATCAGTTCCTGGTTGGTTCTACAGCAAAGCGTGTGTAAAAAAAGTAACTGGTAATTTCCTCATGTAGTCTAGGTCAGCGTGAAGCCTAGTTGTTTAACGTAATTGTAGCTGAATACTGATGCTGCCAGCCAAATGATTCACAAGGGGAAATCCAGTAAAACCATTGAAGTAAAGACAGGAGTAAGGAAAGACTGGCCACTATCATAGATAACATTCCAGTTGATGGTGGACTGGATCATGTAACGAACTGGGGGGCGAAAAGACAGGTGTATGTTGGACCAACAATAAGAAAACTAGAAGATCGATGATCGCCGATGATTTATTCCCAATGTCACACAAACTCGAAGTTCTACAGGAGAAAACAAACAAATTGGCAGAAGAAGCAGCGAAAACAAGTGAAGACAGAGGTGATGAAAACATTTAAGCAAAAAAGTAACGAGTACCCTCATCATCAACGGAAGAAATCTAAAGAAAATCAACTCTTCTGCTTAATCTAGGCAGCCAGTATCGTTTCAACTACAGGCGCATGCAGATGAGGATGTCAAAGCCAACTAAGATCGGAAAGGCAAGACAGTCTTTCACTACTCTGTAATCAGCATGGTAATCTACTCCACCCAAAATGGCGAACAAGGTTCTAAGTTTAAACACCAATGTCAAGTCAGTTGTGTATGGGCCAGAGGCTTGATGTGTTACCGAAAGCATTTCAAACAGCCTTCTGAAGACTTTTATCAACAACTGCCCACCTTTGCTCCATAGAGAAGATAAGATAACCAGCTAGAGAGGCAATGAACCAAACAAGGACCTATTGACCAACAAATATTTCGAAGATGCATACTGTAAAATTATTGAGTGAAATCAAGCTCCAGGCAGTCAAGTGGAAACAACGAGTTGGGTGGAGACCGATAGATCACCACATAGATTTCAGAGTAGTGAACAACTGTCTTGCCTTTCTGATCCAAGTTGGCTTGGACATCCTCATCCGTACCGCCTGCAGTTGATTAGGCGAAATAATTGACTTTCTTTAGATTCCTCTCGTTGATGATGATTGGTTCTTGTTGTTTCTCGGTTGGTATGTTCATCATCTCTGTCTTCTCTATGTTCCCCTGAATGAAATCCTTTCTTCTACTGCTTCTTCTGTCAACTTGTTGGTTTTCGCCTGTAGATCTTCGTGTTTGTGTGACACTTATAGCTTATATTCACTTATATATGATATGAAAATTTTAATTTGTTAACTTGTCATTCTTTGCTAAGTATTATTGGATTTCCAATTGTGCACGGATTGCTTTACTTTATCTTCATTCTTATAGTCGTCTGTATAAGTATATAGATGTGTGGTATGTAACACTGTGTCTGTTTTCGACATAGAACTTTGCACCAATGTGCAGCAGTTCAAGTCGCCACACTCCATGTAGCACACTTAGCAAGAGAAGAAATGCATAATAGAGAAAGTAGACAGGGATATGAGACAAAAGGAATAGTAATAACGAAGAACAGTATAGTTTCATTGGAAATTATAAGTCACAAGGAGTGGATGCATCTGCGCCAGCCATTGAGAACGATGAATTTGAGCCATATCACCAATTGTTTCTAGTCACTGGTTTTTACCGTCTCGAGGACCCCAACTGGGATGTCTACAACTTCCTACGTGGCAGCTGGCTTAAACTAACTGTTATGGATGTCATTCACTGATGCCGTGTTTTGGTTTTACCGCCTCTAGCTCTTTTCCAGCCTGACCCTATGTCAGCTAACATTGTCCGTTGAGGAAGGCGATGGCTAGACATGTGTAACACATGTCCTAACCATCTCAGTCGAAGTAATTTCACAGTCTCGTCGATTGATTTCCCCTCCTTACCTAGCATTCGACGCCTAACCTCAATATTGCTCACCTTATTATACCACTTCACGTCTCAATGACACAACAAGCTACACTGGCTGAAACTATTGTTCCTGCAGGTCCCACCATGCTAGGAAGATTGTTAGGATAGCGATTTGACTAAAAGCAGTTACCGGCATACTGCAAGAATTCTTTTTACACTATGCTGGGGATCTGTGGACGAAGTCGTACTGCTGGGGAACAGGGATGTAACGGCAGTTAGGTGTTTCCCTCAGGTGACCAGCATGCCAGCCAACCATGCTGTCTCTCCACTCTGGAGAGATGGAGCTAGAAAAGGTCGACCCCAAAAATTGTACATCCCGACTTACCCTACGGTGGTCCGTAACTGGCGGCAAGTTTACTAATACGGAACCAAACCAAGAAACCAATTTATACAGGCCGTGGCTGACCAGCCTCAAGCAGTTGTCCGCTGGGCTCTGCGGTCACGCAATCACTAACCCTCTCTCTGTTTCAGCTACCCGAAGAATCAAACAACTTCCACGGTGTGGGCAGCGGGGAAGTAACAACCATCCATGCACTTTCGAGAGTACACGAAGCCTTCCTGAGCATCATTCTCCTCTACCCACATCACCTTCATCATCTTATTCCCCTACTACAGTTAGTACTATTCATGTATCACTCTACATAGTAATTCCAGGTGATTTATGGATGATATGTGTGCATGAACTAATTGTTTGAGAACTTAGCATCTAAAAGAGGTTTCTACGTTTACTGCATGCATTTAACGAGGACTGTTCTGTCTGTCTGTCTGTCTGGATTCAACGTAGGACTGTTACTTCGTTATGTGCTAAATATATACTGTGTAATTTATGTATTTACAAAAAGAATGCGTCGGTGGCACAGCGGTAGAATGCTCGCCAACCACGCATATGCTCAGGGTTTCGATCCCTGACCAACATACTCCCTTACCTCACTAAGCCAGTAATAAGACTGGTAAACAGTGAAGGCTAGGCATTCGGCTAGCAACCCCATCCAGTAAAAATAAAACACCACTGTTACCGAAACTTCAAGCCTCTAGCTTGAAGCCACCCTATGTTCCACTGGGAAAGTAAAAGGATAAAAAGAAAAACCAAAAAGTTTATATCTCACTTTCTCACATTTTTCTACTTCTAAAGCCATTTGGCTTAATGAATCACCATTAGTTGTTATTTGTCCATCTGACGAATCAATTGTTATCCAACCTAAAGCTGTCGGCGGTAGTCTACGCATTACTTCACTAATAGCTAAAATTTCATTTAATGATGAAATTTTATTCCATGCTAAAAAATCTACACCACTAGAAATTAATATTTCTGCACGTCTATAATGAAATTCGACTAGATTTTCAAATGTACTTTCACTATTTTCCTGCACTTTGTTTTTACTGACATTCTCTTTGACAATACAAGCATTGTATGGACCTAATGATCCAGCGATAAGAATAGGCAATTTTTGTATCTTTCTTGTTAACCAATCGTCAGTAGCCATTGCACGTTGTACAAGTCGTACAGAATGACGCATTAATTCTACAGCTTCTGTATCGGTGATATTCAAAGCAGCAGTTAGTGTTTCGGGTGATGCAGAAAATGTATTCGTTGAAATGATATCACATCCTGCTTGTAAAAAGCTTGAATTGTATAAAACAATTTAAAGGAAAGTTAAATACATGTACATCATTTAATAATTATTAGCTTTTAAATTAAAATTAAAACAAGTGATTCAGCGAAGAGATTCTGTTCAACGAATTTATTATGTAGTTCTGACACTGTGGAGGAGGGGGAGTTAAATCTTTTAAGACAAACTCTAATAGAAAGTGGATTTCCACCACGTTTTATAAGCAAGAATACACAGTCAAAACCTATGAAATGTGACTTATCATCCGTAACCAAGAAAATACTGTATGTGAGCTTGGAATTCAAAGGTGACTTAGCTTCGGATATCATTAAAAGAAGGATATCACAGTCCCTGAAAAGGACATTCGCTACAGCATCGTTTAGAATTGTGTCTTCCAGTCGATCATTACTGTTCAGTAACCTAAAGGACAAGATTCCACTGTTAACCAACTCTATGTGCGTTTATCAATTCACCTGCTCGTGTGGAACTAGGTGTATCGGTCGTTCGACACGGGTTTTGTCCAAGAGGGTGCAAGAACACTATCCTCCACGGTTATGAAGGGGCTGGAGTGAAGCTATAAGAAGTGCGATCATTGAACATCTGGTCGATAATGGACACCTTGTCTAAAGACAGTCTCCGCCTTTAAAGTCATCTACAAGGCGAAAAGTAATTTCTGCCGGTCGGTCGGTCGGTCGGTTTTCGACATAGAACTTTGCACATATGTGCGGCAGTTCAAGTCGCCACAATCTATGTAGCACGCAAAGCAAGAGAAGGAAGCAGAAGAAATGCATAATAGAGACAGTAAACAGAGGTGTGAGACAAAGGAATAGTAATAACGGAGAACAAAAGTTTAATTGGAAATCATAAGTCACAAGGAGTGGATGCATCTGCGCCACTGAGAACGATTTTGAGCCATGTCACCAATTGTTTCCAACCATTGGTTTTTACCATCCCGAGGGCCCCAACCAGGAAGTCTACATCTTCCTACGTGGCTTAGATTAACTGTTGTGGATTTCATTGATTGGTGCCATGTTTTGGTTTGACCGCCGCTAGTTGTTTTCCAGCCTGACCCTATATCAGCTAACATTGCCCATTGTCGAGGAAGGCGATGACTAGGCATACGTAGCACATGTCCTAACCATCTCAGTCGAAGTAATTTCACAGTCTCGTCGATTGATTTCCCCTCCTTACCTAGCACTCGACGCCTAACCTCAATATTGCTCACCTTATTATACCACTTCACGCGGGAGATAGCACGCAGACACCTATGATCGAAGACAGCTAATCTTTTCATGTCGTCTGCTCTCAATGGCCAGGTCTCATAGCCATAAAGGAGGACGGAGCGGACTGTTGAGCAGTACACACGCCCTTTGGTCGATAGTCGGATATCGCGTCTACGCCAGAGACGGCGAAAACTGGCGAATGCGAACCTAGCCCTCTGTATTCGTGCTGAAATTTCGTCGGAGATCAACCCGTTGGGGCTGATGGTACTTCCCAAGTAAGTGAAGCGGTCAACGTGTTCTACCACTTCACTTCCTATTTCTAATCTAGGAGTCGATGAAGTCCAATCCTGCAGCATCATCTTACATTTTATAGGGACGAATCGCATGCCAAACATGCGGAGATTGTTGCTCAGGGTGTTCAGTAGACTCTGCATTTTGTCAGAGTCCTCGCCTAGAAGGACTATATCGTCCGCATATTCTAAGTCAACGAGATTCTTCCCTGCAAATAACTACGTACCCAACTCATCTGTATTGGTGAAGCCTTGCCCACTAGAACAGAAAAGCCAGATCTCTGTATACAGAAAAAGTTCGTTCAACCCCTCCAACTTTCATTGTTTTAATCCCACTATGCTAAAGTATGGTAATCCCTAATCATATTTTGGCTCCACCAATTTTTTCATTTTGTCTATTCAATTTGTATAATCTTCCTTTATTACGTCAACTGTTACTATTACTATTTTCACTTTGAACTGTCCCCGGTGTTGTTTCACTACTTCCACTTGTCATTCTAAATCAATTCTGTTTTGCAACTATAAATTCTATGTTATCAAATCTCACACAATGTTTCGTAACGTATTCATTTAATTCGATTTGCCTGCTAATCCTATAATTGCACACCCTTTCCAAGTTTTATACATCCTATGAATTATTCTATATGTGACATTAACTGTTTTGTCATTTGACACTTAACTATGATTATAATCACAAGTATTTTAATTGCATTTCATACTATTATTATTTAATGTATTCACACCTGTGATTTCTTAAAGACCATATATACTATTGTGGTGAGAGCTGGCTGCTAGCCAAAGTTGGTAGATAGCAATTGACGTCAATGTTTATGTCCTTAATATTGGTGGTGAGAAAATGAGAACTAAGGCTTTGCGTAGGCGAATACAGTTAGCATATGGATGATCTGACACAGCGACAAAGAGATGAAAGGTTAACTTTCTGTGAGAAACAACTAATCAAAAGACTGTATTTTCTACTAACAATAATTTACATTAAAATCTATAAATATGTGTTGATTTTCTTTAATAAACGATCTGTTGCCTGGCCCTTGTCTTCTGTTGTTACACTGTTATACAGCTTGATAATAAATTCGTTGAAAAGAGTCTCCTCACCATAAGGATTAACACAGGATCTTATCAATCTTAGGAGGGTTATTTATACTTCAATAGTTAAAAGACATATGAATGCCATTAGTTCACTGATTAGTTATGTCTTCAAGAGTGTTGATTTACAGGGATATGCTTAATTTTGAAGTTTGTTCACTAACTGAATTGAGTTGGAGAACCATAGAAAGCCAGGTAGTACTGAGTAGCTGTTTCATTCTTGTTTGGAACCCTTCAACAGTACCTATCCACTAGAAATAGAATCCAGGATCTTCAAGTTACAACTTTCCATGAATGTAGTAAATCTGAGTGATCATCACATCATTTTTCAAGCTATTGCATAAGAAATATCACTTATCGTTTCATTGGAATATGAACTTCAATAAATATTACTGTGTAATTTTAAATAGACTAATCAATGATATACCCACTACGTTCACCAGTTTACATCATCGTGCACTCATGTGTAGCTTTTAGCTACCCATTAGTGGTGGTTATGTGCGATGTATAAAAATTTCGCCTCTTTCTTCTTTATTATAGTTGAAGGCATATTCTACAAAATTAGTAGAGGTTTCTGGTTTCATGTATTTTTCAAGAGTTTATATTATATGGGACAACATGGTGAATCGTAGTGGAATTCGGTGAACAGGGTAAACGACGTGTAACTCTGCACAGTTTAATCGATCGAGATGTATAGGATAAGTTTTAGGCATGCGAAACCATCGACTACCTGAATGACCATTGTTTTCTGAAGTGGGATTAGGCTGACTATAATCTGATTTACTTAACGAGTATACATAATATCAGACTGTGGTTGTGTTTCGAAACACTACAGCATAAACTGTTCGTCTGAGCTGGGTTTTTTTCCAGATGATTTTTTGTATTAGACATTTATATATTCCAAGCTGTGGAATTTTTTTTTTCCTTCACGTTCCCCAGTGGAACATAGGACTTCAAACTAGTGGCTTGAAGTTTCTGTAGCAGTGTTCATTTTACAGGATGGGGTTGCTAGCCTCATGCCCAACCTTTCCTCTTCACCAGCATTATTTCTGGTTTAGCGAGGTAAGGGAGTGCGTCGACCGGGGATCGAACCCCGGACCATGTGCTTGGTTGACGAGCGTCCTAACCGCTATGGCACCGACGCATTCCAAGCTGTGGAATGCGTGGACCTTATTATTATACCTTTGGGTTTTGAGTGAAACGTAGGGCTTCAACAGCACCTCTCCATTTTGTCCTGTTGCCTGCAGTCCTTTTATCTGACTTCACAGTTGACCTTAAGCTTTCATTTCCTGCTCACACGACTGCCCCATGCCGCTCTCGGATGTCCCACTGTCCCATTAGGGTTCCACTTGAGGGATTGTCTGGTGCATGCGTCACACAATAGTCTCCTCAACGTATGTCCAATCCATCTCCAGTTTCTTCTGCATATTTCTTGAAATCGCTTATTTCAGTTAACTAGGCAACATCTTTTAACTACAGTTAGTACAGATTGGGTTGTCAAAGTTAGGATTTGAAAAGCCAAAGAAACCTTCATTATTGTGAAGTTAGTGTGGAAATCTGCTGCATTCTGCATAAGGACCAACATCCGTGTTTTCAACACTAATGTCCAATCAGTTTTTCTATATGGTTTAGAGACTTGATGTGTTATGGAAACCATTACGAGCAACCTGCTTCACGCTTTTAACAACAGTTGCCTTCGCTGCATACTGAAGATTTGATGGTCAGAAAAAGTAATCAAAAACGAATCAACTATGGGTGGATATTATTGACATCTTAAAGCTAAAGTAACACGGTTCTTTTTCAAACATAGTTTTTCACTCTGTGCAGTCTGAGGCACATTTATTAGTGTAAGCCATACAAACATACAAAACAGTAACTGTGAGTTTTTTCGTTGTATTACATTCACAGCCATATACATATATCCTAAATCTTCCAAATATTATCCACTCTGCTGTCGAGAATGCTACTGGAAGACAAACGTCGGTGGATTTATGACATCGTAGTTTCATTATACCGAGACCCACTATTCAGTATTCTGCTATGCTCAGTATGAAATGTTGTATGAAGTGCAGTGTACACCTTACCAACAGATACAAGTAAGCTGACAAAAATACATTGTAGGATTACACAATTAGATGAAAGCACTATGTACCGTCAATAGCAAACTTGAAGTAACGAGATCACATTTGATTAATCAGTGTATGGATGTCACAGTATCAAGTAAGATACCTACAAAATAATGAGAATGCAATTAGAATTCTTAAATTGTCTTTTCTCAATCTGTTGCTCAAAAGTGAATGACATTTGCAAGTGCACCAGTTCTTTGAATAGTTATCATGATGTTGATGGGAAAGATGTATTAATGCATTGTCTCAAAAGAGAATGTGTCACTTCAAGATGATGATAATCTTAGGGTTCAGTTGAGTACCTTAATTCAAGTTCAACCCTTAGGATGGAGGTCTATTTATTCTTCTAGCCACGAGAAGAACGAAATTTAATCGTGTATTCCACTCTTATCTTCCATAAAATGAATAAATATGACTTCTTCTCGGTGATCACTTGTTTGACGCTTGCAAATGTCACATATAACCAGTATAATAATCTTCAAATAATTGTAGAACCTTCTTTTATGTCCCTTTGGGTTTCAAGTGGAACATGGGGCTACAAGCTTTGGGCTTCAAATTTTCAGTAGTGCTTATGCTTTTTATGGGGTAGAGTTGCTATCCTCAAGCCCAATCTTCTCTCTTTTCCGGGTTTACTATCCGATTAGGCGAAGTTTACGTGTGCGTTTACTGGGAGTCAAATCCGTAACCACATGCGTGTTTGGTGAGTATTCTACTCTTAAACCACAGATTCACCATCGTAGAACATATATAAATTTATTTCATTGAATTATAACACAGAAGTTAGAATTCATGGGCCATTGGATCAGGTCCCAGTGGCTCAATGGTCCACGACTCACCTTGTAACCAGAAGGTCCTGGGTTCGAACCCCGATGGGTGCACACTTCTGAAGAGTCCCAAACTAGGGTGAAAAAGCTGTCCAATACTCCCAGGTTTTCCAGTGGTTCTCTAAATGATGTCAGCTCATGATGAAATCCTCCATCCTGTCAAACTAAATCCCTACAAAACCAATACTTGAAAATTATAACACATATATTTCAAAGGGTTCTAAATCTAACACTTACTTTGCAGCACAACATTATAAACTTACATTTATTGTTCATTTATTCATATACCGCTTATTGTTCAGACGTGATTATCAGTGAGATGCATGTTATCCACGCTGTTTCTAGCCAAAATAACTTAAATTTTATGCTAGAACTACTGCAAGGACAGCGACTATTCATCTTAGTTTTAATCATTTATTGGTTCGAAAGGAGAATCTGTGACTTAAAGTTCGTGTGAGATGTAGGAAAGCGACATAAAGTAACTGGTAATCTTTATCTTCACTCTTTACTAATTACTTTGGACAATATCACTATATTATAATAATTGTTAAAAGAAGCTGTAACCCAAAAATATGCAGAATGAAATGGAAATGGACTAATCATTCAATAAGAAGACCCTCAAGTCATATAGCATGTGGTACTTGAATGGGAAGTGAACAGTGTGACATCCAAGGGTGGCATGGAAGGCATCATGCAAAAAGGGGAAATGAAAGCTTGTGGTTAGTCACTAATCCAGCTGAGGGTGATGGTAGAAAACCGGGTGGATGGGTGATGTACCACTGAAGCCCTATGTGTAGTAATCACAAAGACTGTTAGTTCAATACTTCCAGGCACTGTTAGACATTTACTGAACTGAAAAGAACTCACCTTTTATGTACATCACATACTAAATTTGGATCATTTTTAAGAAGACAACAACTTTCTATATTATGTCCTTCAATTTTTAATTTTGCTCTTTTTTGTAGTTCAGTTTCAACACCTCCATCAATAACGCGTATTTCTTTCATCCATTTTTCAACTCGATCATCTAGCATTTTCCTTTATAGATATTATATACTAACATAAGTATCCTTCTAATGAATAGAGTTATGTATGTATAGGATTAAAGCTTAATAATATTTATATTGATCAGTTAATCATTTAAAACTGACTAGTTAGCGTAATAAAACGCAATGTAAAGAAAGAGTTACGAGTTTACCTTTTTTTAACTTCATAGGACCTGAGAGAATTAAAAACTGTGAAGCGTTTCAACTTTCATCATCAGGTGTAAAAGGGATTACGTCCAAATGAAAACATAGCAAGAACTTCATTTTGAACTACTAAGAAGCGGTGAATGAAGAATAACAACGATAACCTTTCACTTTTGCTTTTCAGTGACTTTTTATACGATACTGATGCCTGGCAAAAGCTACTATTAGATCGGTCATTTTCCGACACGTTTCTCAAAATATGGAAGATACACTGAATGGTCTCCCTTTGGACATAGCCAAGATTGTGTTTAGTCCACAATGTTGGATCCGACTAAATTCTATCAGTCTAGCTTGCTGTTTCCCTTCAATCGTCTAGGATCAGAGAAAGAACGGATATTGCATGTAAAAAACGTTGCTTAAGCTCTGAAGGAAGACCGTTTGAGTCTTACTAGCGGTTTTCGTGTATCTTGCGATGTAAAGCAGATTCCTCAAGATACTAAGAATCACTCCTTGTGATATCCCAAATTTATTAAATCCTCACTTTTTTTCGTAGAATTATTCGTTCTCCTGAAGATTTTTGATGATTGTAGTTTCAGTGCTACTCCAAAGTAGGGCAAGTTGGACTGCTACAATTTTGTTCAAAGTTTAACGTTGAAAATTCAATCTACTTCACATAATAGCACAGTAAACTTGAGTAGAATACGCGTCGTTTATGATTACTGCTGCAGCTGTTTCGCAGTGGTAATCTTTATCTATTGCTTCTTGAAATAAATCTGTTACACTACAAGTAGTTTAAAATTAAGGAGTTGCATACGATTTTCGAGGGTGATGACGTTAATGGATAGTACGATTTATATTAACGCAAGATCTAATACCCACACATTTTATAGTATTGATTCCGCGTAGACCAAAGGCAAAGCGAAACACCAGAACTGATCGTCCAAATTACGAAACATATTTCGGGACCAAATCGGAGTGCAAGAATGATTGCTCAACTAGCTAGGCATCGTGCACAAACAAACGAACGTAACACGACGACATGCCAAATGCGCGTGAATACTTAACCATGAGCTTTCAGCTAAACAAGTCGACTTAAACAGTAAGGGTCAGCATCTAAAGTTCAGTGATTAATTCTGTGGCCAGTAATTCTATGGAATTGCCTACCACTACACCATCATTACCATCTCTATTATAACTTAGATTCCATCTTCAAATATTTATTCAATGAGTCAGCCATTATACAGTACCTTTTTTTAATCTTATTTTCATTATTCTTATTCCCTTAAGTTCCGAGTGGAGCATAGGGCTTCAGGAGCACGTTTCCATTTCACCCTATTCTCTGCAGTCCTCAACAGCTGGTCTCACGACTGCCCATAAGCTCTCATTTCCTCCTCACATGGTCTCCTCCACATCACCGTCGGATGCCCAACCTCGCTATGTTAAATTATCGTATGGTTTAGTTTTCGAGATGAGTATTAGTTATGTGTGCAGTTGATAGTGAGATCCACACATAGCTGACAGTGAAAGAAAGCCACTTAATTGCATTGGTAATAGCTGCAGACAGATTTCCATCGGTTTATAAGCAGCATACTGACAATTTCGTCAATGGCAAACTTCACATTAAACTACGCCTAGAATAGAGTATTACAACACACTAGAAAGAATAACATGGATTAATTAATGTTAATTGAACATAACAGACTGACACTACTCAGATTTTTTACCAATAACAATTTAATGAAGCACTTCCGCATACCATTTTAATTTATAAAAGTTTAGATTCCTTTAAGTTGTTTGACAAATGCACATACCAAATGAATTGTCTGCTATCAGTAGTCTCTTCAGCGGATAAACACAACTCGAAATCGATCGTGGAGTTCATTGAGCACTTCATACTAGACAGGAACATATAAGGGATGCAGTGTGGTTAGCCTAACCCAGTGATAACATCTTTAATGATAAGATTCAGTGATGAACCTCCCATTTCCTTAAACTACTGTCTATTTATGTTAACAAGGATGTAACCTAGGCAGAGGAGGATATCTGAACTATGATACTAACCGATAAAGAAGTTACTTACGACACTACATTCAGGTGCATTCCTCTGAGATGGAGAGTACACAGTGACCAATTAAAAGTGGAGTGTTATCTACCCTTTATCTTACGATAATTGTTAGATAGTACATGAACTGAAGTCGAAATCTGATAAGTTATTCAACTGATAATATATTTTCATGAAAAAATGCAATTACCTAGCCAACATAATTTACATGAAGTTCAAAAATGGGCTTGAGAATTAAGTCATTATAACATAGTGTTATTGTTTTGGTCAATAAATATTTCCAACGAACCTGCATTCAAACTTTCTTATATATGCTGGTCATTTTAAACAATACTGTGTATAATAGAAGGCAGCTAAATCAGTTTTTACTGTCAGCCTTTTCCAGCCTTCAATCTTATCCCAAAGATGATTCAGTGACAATTTGTGGAGTCTGGAACAATATGATTGTACAGCATTTTGCTTGACGTTAAACATGAGAACATTGCGCACAACTTTTGTTCAAAACTACTCATTGCAAAATATACATAACATCGGAGTACAATCAAAAAATACAGTGCACTGATCAACGCTTCGTCTTATCACTGGTCCATACTGTCTACTTGATTCATTACTAGCAGTGTTGTATCATTTGAATTTTGCAGGAAACTCTCATCCTTATCTGATGACTGTTTCACAATTGGTGCACAGCTTCTACTAGTAGATACGACTCCAACAGTGAACACTTCTGTGGATTACATTAATAATTTGTAGCCGTGAACTTTAACTGTATCACTAAGTAACCATCAATTTATATAACTCGTTAATATTATTGTCCCCTTGGGTTCCTAGTGGAACATAAGGCTTCAACTGCACTCCTCCACTTGCTTCTGTCTTCTATTGCACTTTTCACTTGCATCCATGTTAGTCCATACTCTTCTTCACACGATCTCCTCCATGTCACCCTTGGATGTCCCACTGGCTGCTTCCCTTTTGGGTTGCACTCGAGGGCCTGACGCGCGATGTCACCCAACGGCCTCCTCAGTGAGTGTCCGATCCATCTCCACTTTCTCCTGCATATTTGTTGGGCAATTGGTTCTTGCTTTGTTTGTTCCCATAGTTTCTTGTTGGTGATTCTTTCCGGCCATCTGATCTTGAGTATAGAACGAAGACAGTTGTTGATAAAGGTCTTCAACAGGCTGTTGGAAATATTCTTTGTGACCCACCAAGTTTCTGATCCGTATAGAAGAACTGACTTGATGTTTGTATTGAAAAATGGTTAACTATACTTTTTATAATATACTGTTACACAATCATTTCAATTATTTTGATTTTTATTCTAATATTTGTTCCGTTACAGAGCTCGCTGTTATGAAATTTCATAATTAGAGCTCACCGTTTGGTGCTGGCATGAGTGTCACTGCCAGCGCTCACCTATGGTGCATGTGTTTACCAAAGACATCAAATATAAAGCAGTAATTATTGAATGGACTTAAAAGGGACCAACATTTCTCTGTCTGTAACTGATAGCCATTATCACGTATATTATTGCGCAGACACTCTTGTTGTGTCACACTGCTACATTTGTATGTCAGTTGGAATTGTTCCCATTAGGTATTGAATATTTTCTGGGGTAGTTTCAATCGAAAGTGTAAATCCATCACTCTGAAACAATCGACGATTCGTATCAGTAGTTGATGACATTCCATAGTCACTTAAATCTAGAGATGTATGTCAGCGAAATAAAGAACACAAGTATATCAGAAAGTTTACATAGCCCTTAATTAATAGATATGGTCAGCGTTATCGTATTTTGAATGTAGAGAAATGACCTCCAAAATGTTAACTTAACGAATTGATTATGTTATTCAAAAGTTAATACCTTATGTCCCAAGTTCAGAGGAATTGAGTTTCTTGAGCAACAAGCTTATACTTGTATCATTTTGTATTTTAAAATGCACTTTAAGCGAATCTCTTGATAACGCTGAAATCATTCATACATAGAATGTAACATTTATTAATAGGTCATAATTAAACTTTATAAAACTGTTCACAAAACCGATAATTAGTGATGTTGATTGAACGGACATGTTAGATAGCAATGACACATTAGTAATTATCATTTCCAGTTGTTGTTATAATATCATTTAAAAAGTGAGAGAATTGGATTTAATGTCCTTATTAAATTGAAGGACATCTTTACACTTAAGACCACTAAGTATTGTGGATATTTTCTGATTTCGTTTACCATATTGCTGAGCCAAAAGAAATTCAGTTGACTTTATAGAATGAGTTACAGTTGGTAGTCGTTACAGGAGGAGGTATTAACTAAGAAAAACTTCTGCTAAGTCTTTAACAATGTCGTAATCATTGCTGACTACAGTATAAGATAGTTAAAATAAAGGCAAGCGAAGTTATCTACTTTATTTCATGTTTAATCCGATTAAGCCTTTGAATCTTTTATCATTGACCCATAAATTAATCCAAATGACAGTTAAAAATAAGGGTTTTAAGTGGGGGGAGGGGAAATGTGAGTAATATTCATTTCTGTAGGCAAATACAATAGTTTTGGATGATCAATAAGCAGTTATCCGTTATTAGTAGTATGTTTGTCAGTAGTTGCTTTTGTTTGATTATCAGCATAATTACTACATACACTAGTATAGGTTCGTTTTATGGAGTTACCTTCAAATGTATACTTGCTTCCTGTTTTATGGTAAGCATAATAAAGTTCCTTTCTTTTGTTATAATTGATTTCGTTGGGACTGAGTTACTGGGTTCCGTGCTACTAGTTACGCTTGTTGCG